TATTTGAATGATGCCCTCCTACAGCTTCTATCGGATCTTCTTCAAAATTGGGCAGTACAGTCACAACATGGTGCTGAATGAACGCATTATATTTTGTGACTGTACGTTGAAGGGCGTGTCCGTGGCGTGCCCTCAAAGTTGGCCATTTTGAACAAATGTCACACTGTGATGTCATTTTGGCCTTTCAGGGCTTCTATTTGAATGATCTCCTCCTACACGTTCTAACGGATCTTCTTCAAAATTGGGCAGTACAGTCACAACATGGTGCTGAATGAACGCATTTCATTTTGTGACTGTACGTTGAAGGGCGTGTCCGTGGCCTGCCGTCAAAGTTGGCCATTTTGAAGCCCGTGGTCCTGTATTTGAACAAACAAACTCCTTGAGAATTTATCAGATCTGCTTCAAAACTTGACAGTACTCTTGAATAATCTTGCTGATTACAAGTTGTGCTATTTATGACTGTACGTTGAAGGGCGTGTCCCAGGTGTCTCGTCAAAGTTGGACATTTTGAATTCTGTGGTCTTTTTTTTCAAAGTGATGAAACACAAACACCCCTCCGCTCCCACTAGCCACATCTACAAACCATATTTCCTAGGGAGTATTGTTCGTGGAGCATAGTGTGAAACCGCTGGAAGTCACTTATTAAATTGCAAGATAAATAGGGGACTTATCAAATCGACTTCAAAATTGGACAGTCTTATAAAAACAAAGTGTACATGAAGAATTGAGCTATTTGTGACTGTACGTCAAACTGCGTGCCACTGACCCCTTGTCGAATTCAGATGATTTTCCATTAAGCGGTACTCATAACTTCAGTGTGCAATGTCCAATTTCCAATAAACTTCATATATTCTGTAACAGTCTCGCCCTGAACACGTCCTCATTGCATCAGCCTACGTATTACAGTCCCGCCCTGAACTTGTCTACGTGACAAGATTCAGATAAAGTGAAAGCACAGCATACTGGCAACAGGAAGGAAGCGCTGCGTGGCGATACGGAGCTGATTTGGAGCAGATTTACGTGACGTATTCGCGTTGCGGTCCGCGCTTGTTACGACGGCACGTGCGTGGCCTCGGCGCACCCCGACCGCACGTGACGCGTTTGCGGCCCGCCCCGACGAGCGCCGGGTGCGAGGTCCCGCCCAACGCTGCTTGCAGCTTTAATTATTATTATTATTATTTTTTTAGCGACTTTGCGCGCATTTTTCACCCCCTTAACAATTATAATATTCGCATTTTATTTGGCACATTTGTCAAGCCTCATTTAAATTGGAGATTCTATGCGTCACATGCAGGTCAGCCACTAGGAAGGCCACTAGGTGGCGCTATTTGTAGGCCAATTTCGTTACGCTAATAACTCCCGCATAGTTTGTCTCACATTCAAAAACCTTATATCCACGCGTTCGGTGAATGGAGCTGAACCTCCCCATATAGGCCACGCCCACTTCCGCCTAGATTTTTTTTTTTTCTAGAGCGCAAAATGTCCATAAATCACTTTTTCGTGTTCCTCCTACACACTTTGTCCGATGCGCACGAAACTTTGCACGTTTCATCTGTGGACCGTCCTGACAACAAAAGTAATTTGAAGAATTTTGATATTATAAAACATAAGGAAGTTATACAATTAGCACTTCCTGTTGATTTTTCGTCAAAAAAGGAAGTGGGGTATTTCTCCACGTTGGTATGTCCGATTTACACCAACCTTGGGTCAATAGTTCCCCATGTCTTCATTATGTATCGTGCACAATTTCAGGTCATCACCACTAGGTGGCGCTCTTTAAAATGAAGGAGTTTATATCTCTGCATCGGCAAGTGTGATTAAGATGAAACTTGGTACGCTGCTTCCCCATGGCTCCCTGAGGCTCACCTAAAAAGGACAAAAAAAATACGCCACTAGGTGGTGCTCTTTTGGCATGATAAATCACTCGTAATAGTTATGAATATGAAATTCACAGGGTACGTGTAGAGTGGTGCCTGAAGCTCACATACCAAAAATCCTGTTTGTCCTGCTTGTAGCGCCCCCTACAGGATAAAAAAACATCAGCCCCGGCGCCACGTTTCACCGACATGTACGAAACTCAATAGGCATGTATAATGTGCCGGGGCGTACAAAAAAGCCTCTTGGACCCATACCTCAAATCCCACAGGAAGTCGGCTATTTTCATTTAAAATTTGCACTTTTGGCGGCCATTTTGTGGTCATTTTGACTCTTTGGGCTTGTTTTAGAACTAACTGCTCCTAGGGAATTTATCAGATCTGCTTCAAAATTGGTCAGTACAGTCACAACATGGTGCTGAATGAACGCATTATATTTTGTGACTGTACGTTGAAGGGCGTGTCCGTGGCGTGCCCTCAAAGTTGGCCATTTAGAACAAATGTCACTGTGATGTCATTTTTGCATTTCAGGGCTTCTATTTGAATGATCCCCTCCTACAGCTTCTATCGGATCTTCTTCAAAATTGGGCAGTCCAGTCACAACATGGGGCTGAATGAACACATTATATTTGGTGACTGTACGTTGAAGGGCGTGTCCGTGGCGTGCCCTCAAAGTTGGCCATTTAGAACAAATGTCACACTGTGATGTCATTTTGGCCTTTCAGGGCTTCTATTTGAATGATCTCCTCCTACACGTTCTAACGGATCTTCTTCAAAATTGGGCAGTACAGTCACAACATGGTGCTGAATGAACGCATTTCATTTTGTGACTGTACGTTGAAGGGCGTGTCCGTGGCGTGCCCTCAAAGTTGGCCATTTTGAAGTCTGTGGTCTTGTATTTGAACAAACAAACTCCTAGAGAATTTATCAGATCTGCTTCAAAACTTGACAGTACTCTTGAATAATCTTGCTGATTACAAGTTGTGCTATTTATGACTGTACGTTGAAGGGCGTGTCCCAGGTGTCTCGTCAAAGTTGGACATTTTGAATTCTGTGGTCTTTTTTTTCAAAGTGATGAAACACAAACACCCCTCCGCTCCCACTAGCCACATCTACAAACCATATTTCCTAGGGAGTATTGTTCGTGGAGCATAGTGGGAAACTGCTGGAAGTCACTTATTAAATTGCAAGATAAATAGGGGACTTATCAAATCGACTTCAAAATTGGACAGTCTTATAAAAACAAAGTGTACATGAAGAATTGAGCTATTTGTGACTGTACGTCAAACTGCGTGCCACTGACCCCTTGTCGAATTCAGATGATTTTCCATTAAGCGGTACTCATAACTTCAGTGTGCAATGTCCAATTTCCAATAAACTTCATATATTCTGTAACAGTCTCGCCCTGAACGCGTCCTCATAACATCAGCCTACGTATTACAGTCCCGCCCTGAACTTGTCTACGTGACAAGATTCAGATAAAGTGAAAGCACAGCATACTGGCAACAGGAAGGAAGCGCTGCGTGGCGATACGGAGCTGATTTGGAGCTGATTTACGTGACGTATTCGCGTTGCGGTCCGCGCTTGTTACGACGGCACGTGGCGTGGCCTCGGCGCACCCCGACCGCACGTGACGCGTTTGCGGCGCGCCCCGACGAGCGCCGGGTGCGAGGTCCCGCCCAACGCTGCTTGCAGCTTTATTAATTAGGGACCGAGCCAGTATGAACTGGAAGGTCCCTATTGTTTTTCCTTGTTTATTTGCCTGATTTTTTTTCGTTTATTATTATTATTATTATTATTATTTTTATCGACTTTGCTCGCATTTTTCACCCCCTTAACATTTAAAATATTCGCATTTTATTTGGCACATTTGTCAAGCCTCATTTAAATTGGAGATTCTATGCGTCACATGCAGGTCAGCCACTAGGAAGGCCACTAGGTGGCGCTATTTGTAGGCCAATTTCGATACGCTAATAACTCCCGCATAGTTTGTCTCACATTCAAAAACCTTATATCCACGCGTTCGGTGAATGGAGCTGAACCTCCCCATATAGGCCACGCCCACTTCCGCCTAGATTTTTTTTTTTTCTAGAGCGCAAAATGTCCATAAATCACTTTTTCGTGTTCCTCCTACACACTTTGTCCGATGCGCACGAAACTTTGCACGTTTCATCTGTGGACCGTCCTGACAACAAAAGTAATTTGAAGAATTTTGATATTATAAAACATAAGGAAGTTATAAAATTAGCACTTCCTGTTGATTTTTCGTCAAAAAAGGAAGTGGGGTATTTCTCCACATTGGTATGTCCGATTTACACCAACCTTGGGTCCATAGTTCCCCATGTCTTCCTTAAGCATCGTGCACAATTTCAGGTCATCACCACAAGGTGGCGCTCTTTAAAATGAAGGAGTTTATAGCTCTACAACGGTATGTGTGATTAAGATGAAACTTGGTACGCTGCTTCCCCATGGCTCCCTGAGGCTCACCTAAAAAGGACAAAAAAATACGCCACTAGGTGGTGCTCTTTTGGCATGATAAATCACTTGCGTAATAGTTATGAATATGAAATTCACAGGGCACGTGTAGAGTGGTGCCTGAAGCTCACATACCAAAAATCCTGTTTGTCCTGCTTGTAGCGCCCCCTACAGGATAAAAAAACATCAGCCCCGGCGCCACGTTTCACCGACATGTACGAAACTCAATAGGCATGTATAATGTGCCGGGGCGTACAAAAAAGCCTCTTGGACCCATACCTCAAATCCCACAGGAAGTCGGCTATTTTCATTTAAAATTTGCACTTTTGGCGGCCATTTTGTGGTCATTTTGACTCTTTGGGCTTGTTTTAGAACTAACTGCTCCTAGGGAATTTATCAGATCTGCTTCAAAATTGGTCAGTACAGTCAAAACATGGTGCTGAATGAACGCATTATATTTTGTGACTGTACGTTGAAGGGCGTGTCCGTGGCGTGCCCTCAAAGTTGGCCATTTAGAACAAATGTCACTGTGATGTCATTTTTGCATTTCAGGGCTTCTATTTGAATGATCCCCTCCTACAGCTTCTATCGGATCTTCTTCAAAATTGGGCAGTCCAGTCACAACATGGGGCTGAATGAACGCATAATTATTTGGTGACTGTACGTTGAAGGGCGTGTCCGTGGCGTGCCCTCAAAGTTGGCCATTTAGAACAAATGTCACACTGTGATGTCATTTTGGCCTTTCAGGGCTTCTATTTGAATGATTTCCTCTGACACGTTCTAACGGATCTTCTTCAAAATTGGGCAGTACAGTCACAACGTGGTGCTGAATGAAAGCATTATATTTTGTGACTGTACGTTGAAGGGCGTGTCCGTGGCGTGCCCTCAAAGTTGGCCATTTAGAACAAATGTCACACTGTGATGTCATTTTGGCCTTTCAGGGCTTCTATTTGAATGATTTCCTCTGACACGTTCTAACGGATCTTCTTCAAAATTGGGCAGTACAGTCACAACATGGTGCTGAATGAACGCATTTCATTTTTTGACTGTACGTTGAAGGGCGTGTCCGTGGCCTGCCGTCAAAGTTGGCCATTTTGAAGCCCGTGGTCCTGTATTTGAACAAACAAACTCCTTGAGAATTGATCAGATCTGCTTCAAAACTTGACAGTACTCTTGAATAATCTTGCTGATTACAAGTTGTGCTATTTATGACTGTACGTTGAAGGGCGTGTCCCAGGTGTCTCGTCAAAGTTGGACATTTTGAATTCTGTGGTCTTTTTTTTCAAAGTGATGAAACACAAACACCCCTCCGCTCCCACTAGCCACATCTACAAACCATATTTCCTAGGGAGTATTGTTCGTGGAGCATAGTGTGAAACCGCTGGAAGTCACTTATTAAATTGCAAGATAAATAGGGGACTTATCAAATCGACTTCAAAATTGGACAGTCTTATAAAAACAAAGTGTACATGAAGAATTGAGCTATTTGTGACTGTACGTCAAACTGCGTGCCACTGACCCCTTGTCGAATTCAGATGATTTTCCATTAAGCGGTACTCATAACTTCAGTGTGCAATGTCCAATTTCCAATAAACTTCATATATTCTGTAACAGTCTCGCCCTGAACACGTCCTCATAACATCAGCCTACGTATTACAGTCCCGCCCTGAACTTGTCTACGTGACAAGATTCAGATAAAGTGAAAGCACAGCATACTGGCAACAGGAAGGAAGCGCTGCGTGGCGATACGGAGCTGATTTGGAGCAGATTTACGTGACGTATTCGCGTTGCGGTCCGCGCTTGTTACGACGGCACGTGGCGTGGCCTCGGCGCACCCCGACCGCACGTGACGCGTTTGCGGCGCGCCCCGACGAGCGCCGGGTGCGAGGTCCCGCCCAACGCTGCTTGCAGCTTTAATTAGGGACCGAGCCAGTATGAACTGGAAGGTCTCTATTGTTTTTCCTTCGTTTATTATTATTATTATTATTATTTTTAGCGACTTTGCTCGCATTTTTCACCCCCTTAACAATTATAATATTCGCATTTTATTTGGCACATTTGTCAAGCCTCATTTAAATTGGAGATTCTATGCGTCACATGCAGGTCAGCCACTAGGAAGGCCACTAGGTGGCGCTATTTGTAGGCCAATTTCGATACGCTAATAACTCCCGCATAGTTTGTCTCACATTCAAAAACCTTATATCCACGCGTTCGGTGAATGGAGCTGAACCTCCCCATATAGGCCACGCCCACTTCCGCCTATTTTTTTTTTTTCTAGAGCGCAAAATGTCCATAAATCACTTTTTCGTGTTCCTCCTACACACTTTTTCCGATGCGCACGAAACTTTGCACGTTTCATCTGTGGACCGTCCTGACAACAAAAGTAATTTGAAGAATTTTGATATTATAAAACATAAGGAAGTTATACAATTAGCACTTCCTGTTGATTTTTCGTCAAAAAAGGAAGTGGGGTATTTCTCCACATTGGTATGTCCGATTTACACCAACCTTGGGTCCATAGTTCCCCATGTCTTCCTTAAGCATCGTGCACAATTTCAGGTCATCACCACAAGGTGGCGCTCTTTAAAATGAAGGAGTTTATAGCTCTACAACGGTATGTGTGATTAAGATGAAACTTGGTACGCTGCTTCCCCATGGCTCCCTGAGGCTCACCTAAAAAGGACAAAAAAAATACGCCACTAGGTGGTGCTCTTTTGGCATGATAAATCACTCGTAATAGTTATGAATATGAAATTCACAGGGTACGTGTAGAGTGGTGCCTGAAGCTCACATACCAAAAATCCTGTTTGTCCTGCTTGTAGCGCCCCCTACAGGATAAAAAAACATCAGCCCCGGCGCCACGTTTCACCGACATGTACGAAACTCAATAGGCATGTATAATGTGCCGGGGCGTACAAAAAAGCCTCTTGGACCCATACCTCAAATCCCACAGGAAGTCGGCTATTTTCATTTAAAATTTGCACTTTTGGCGGCCATTTTGTGGTCATTTTGACTCTTTGGGCTTGTTTTAGAACTAACTGCTCCTAGGGAATTTATCAGATCTGCTTCAAAATTGGTCAGTACAGTCAAAACATGGTGCTGAATGAACGCATTATATTTTGTGACTGTACGTTGAAGGGCGTGTCCGTGGCGTGCCCTCAAAGTTGGCCATTTAGAACAAATGTCACTGTGATGTCATTTTTGCATTTCAGGGCTTCTATTTGAATGATCCCCTCCTACAGCTTCTATCGGATCTTCTTCAAAATTGGGCAGTCCAGTCACAACATGGGGCTGAATGAACGCAATATATTTGGTGACTGTACGTTGAAGGGCGTGTCCGTGGCGTGCCCTCAAAGTTGGCCATTTAGAACAAATGTCACACTGTGATGTCATTTTGGCCTTTCAGGGCTTCTATTTGAATGATTTCCTCTGACACGTTCTAACGGATCTTCTTCAAAATTGGGCAGTACAGTCACAACATGGTGCTGAATGAACGCATTTCATTTTGTGACTGTACGTTGAAGGGCGTGTCCGTGGCGTGCCGTCAAAGTTGGCCATTTTGAAGCCCGTGGTCCTGTATTTGAACAAACAAACTCCTTGAGACATTATCAGATCTGCTTCAAAACTTGACAGTACTCTTGAATAATCTTGCTGATTACAAGTTGTGCTATTTATGACTGTACGTTGAAGGGCGTGTCCCAGGTGTCTCGTCAAAGTTGGACATTTTGAATTCTGTGGTCTTTTTTTTCAAAGTGATGAAACACAAACACCCCTCCGCTCCCACTAGCCACATCTACAAACCATATTTCCTAGGGAGTATTGTTCGTGGAGCATAGTGGGAAACCGCTGGAAGTCACTTATTAAATTGCAAGATAAATAGGGGACTTATCAAATCGACTTCAAAATTGGACAGTCTTATAAAAACAAAGTGTACATGAAGAATTGAGCTATTTGTGACTGTACGTCAAACTGCGTGCCACTGACCCCTTGTCGAATTCAGATGATTTTCCATTAAGCGGTACTCATAACTTCAGTGTGCAATGTCCAATTTCCAATAAACTTCATATATTCTGTAACAGTCTCGCCCTGAACGCGTCCTCATAACATCAGCCTACGTATTACAGTCCCGCCCTGAACTTGTCTACGTGACAAGATTCAGATAAAGTGAAAGCACAGCATACTGGCAACAGGAAGGAAGCGCTGCGTGGCGATACGGAGCTGATTTGGAGCAGATTTACGTGACGTATTCGCGTTGCGGTCCGCGCTTGTTACGACGGCACGTGCGTGGCCTCGGCGCACCCCGACCTCACATGACGCGTTTGCGGCGCGCCCCGACGAGCGCCCGGGTGCGAGGTCCCGCCCAACGCTGCTTGCAGTGCTTTGTTTTTTTTATTATTATTATTATTATTATTTTTAGCGACTTTGCTCGCATTTTTCACCCCCTAATCATTTAAAATATTGGCATTTTATTTGGCACATTTGTCAAGCCTCATTTAAATTGGAGATTCTATGCGTCACATGCAGGTCAGCCACTAGGAAGGCCACTAGGTGGCGCTATTTGTAGGCCAATTTCGATACGCTAATAACTCCCGCATAGTTTGTCTCACATTCAAAAACCTTATATCCACGCGTTCGGTGAATGGAGCTGAACCTCCCCATATAGGCCACGCCCACTTCCGCCTAGATTTTTTTTTTTCTAGAGCGCAAAATGTCCATAAATCACTTTTTCGTGTTCCTCCTACACACTTTTTCCGATGCGCACGAAACTTTGCACGTTTCATCTGTGGACCGTCCTGACAACAAAAGTAATTTGAAGAATTTTGATATTATAAAACATAAGGAAGTTATACAATTAGCACTTCCTGTTGATTTTTCGTCAAAAAGGAAGTGGGGTATTTCTCCACATTGGTATGTCCGATTTACACCAACCTTGGGTCCATAGTTCCCCATGTCTTCCTTAAGCATCGTGCACAATTTCAGGTCATCACCACAAGGTGGCGCTCTTTAAAATGAAGGAGTTTATATCTCTACAACGGTATGTGTGATTAAGATGAAACTTGGTACGCTGCTTCCCCATGGCTCCCTGAGGCTCACCTAAAAAGGACAAAAAAAATACGCCACTAGGTGGTGCTCTTTTGGCATGATAAATCACTCGTAATAGTTATGAATATGAAATTCACAGGGTACGTGTAGAGTGGTGCCTGAAGCTCACATACCAAAAATCCTGTTTGTCCTGCTTGTAGCGCCCCCTACAGGATAAAAAAACATCAGCCCCGGCGCCACGTTTCACCGACATGTACGAAACTCAATAGGCATGTATAATGTGCCGGGGCGTACAAAAAAGCCTCTTGGACCCATACCTCAAATCCCACAGGAAGTCGGCTATTTTCATTTAAAATTTGCACTTTTGGCGGCCATTTTGTGGTCATTTTGACTCTTTGGGCTTGTTTTAGAACTAACTGCTCCTAGGGAATTTATCAGATCTGCTTCAAAATTGGTCAGTACAGTCAAAACATGGTGCTGAATGAACGCATTATATTTTGTGACTGTACGTTGAAGGGCGTGTCCGTGGCGTGCCCTCAAAGTTGGCCATTTAGAACAAATGTCACTGTGATGTCATTTTTGCATTTCAGGGCTTCTATTTGAATGATCCCCTCCTACAGCTTCTATCGGATCTTCTTCAAAATTGGGCAGTCCAGTCACAACATGGGGCTGAATGAACACATTATATTTGGTGACTGTACGTTGAAGGGCGTGTCCGTGGCGTGCCCTCAAAGTTGGCCATTTAGAACAAATGTCACACTGTGATGTCATTTTGGCCTTTCAGGGCTTCTATTTGAATGATTTCCTCCTGACACGTTCTAACGGATCTTCTTCAAAATTGGGCAGTACAGTCACAACGTGGTGCTGAATGAAAGCAATTATATTTTGTGACTGTACGTTGAAGGGCGTGTCCGTGGCGTGCCCTCAAAGTTGGCCATTTAGAACAAATGTCACACTGTGATGTCATTTTGGCCTTTCAGGGCTTCTATTTGAATGATCTCCTCCTACACGTTCTAACGGATCTTCTTCAAAATTGGGCAGTACAGTCACAACATGGTGCTGAATGAACGCATTTCATTTTGTGACTGTACGTTGAAGGGCGTGTCCGTGGCGTGCCGTCAAAGTTGGCCATTTTGAAGCCCGTGGTCCTGTATTTGAACAAACAAACTCCTTGAGACTTTATCAGATCTGCTTCAAAACTTGACAGTACTCTTGAATAATCTTGCTGATTACAAGTTGTGCTATTTATGACTGTACGTTGAAGGGCGTGTCCCAGGTGTCTCGTCAAAGTTGCACATTTTGAATTCTGTGGTCTTTTTTTTCAAAGTGATGAAACACAAACACCCCTCCGCTCCCACTAGCCACATCTACAAACCATATTTCCTAGGGAGTATTGTTCGTGGAGCATAGTGGGAAACCGCTGGAAGTCACTTATTAAATTGCAAGATAAATAGGGGACTTATCAAATCGACTTCAAAATTGGACAGTCTTATAAAAACAAAGTGTACATGAAGAATTGAGCTATTTGTGACTGTACGTCAAACTGCGTGCCACTGACCCCTTGTCGAATTCAGATGATTTTCCATTAAGCGGTACTCGTAACTTCAGTGTGCAATGTCCAATTTCCAATAAACTTCATATATTCTGTAACAGTCTCGCCCTGAACACGTCCTCATAACATCAGCCTACGTATTACAGTCCCGCCCTGAACTTGTCTACGTGACAAGATTCAGATAAAGTGAAAGAACAGCATACTGGCACCAGGAAGGAAGCGCTGCGTGGCGATACGGAGCTGATTTGGAGCAGATTTACGTGACGTATTCGCGTTGCGGTCCGCGCTTGTTACGACGGCACGTGCGTGGCCTCGGCGCACCCCGACCGCACGTGACGCGTTTGCGGCGCGCCCCGACGAGCGCCGGGTGCGAGGTCCCGCCCAACGCTGCTTGCAGCTTTAATTAGGGAGCAGTTGACTGGTCTTTTTTTTTTATTATTATTATTATTTTTAGGCGACTTTAGCTCGCATTTTTCACCCCCTAAACATTTATAATATTCGCATTTTATTTGGCACATTTGTCAAGCCTCATTTAAATTAGAGATTCTATGCGTCACATGCAGGTCAGCCACTAGGAAGGCCACTAGGTGGCGCTGTTTGTAGGCCAATTTCGATACGCCAATAACTCCCGCATAGTTTGTCTCACATTCAAAAACCTTATATCCACGCGTTCGGTGAATGGAGCTGAACCTCCCCATATAGGCCACGCCCACTTCCGCCTAGATTTTTTTTTTTTCTAGAGCGCAAAATGTCCATAAATCACTTTTTCGTGTTCCTCCTACACACTTTGTCCGATGCGCACGAAACTTTGCACGTTTCATCTGTGGACCGTCCTGACAACAAAAGTAATTTGAAGAATTTTGATATTTTAAAACATAAGGAAGTTATAAAATTAGCACTTCCTGTTGATTTTTCGTCAAAAAAGGAAGTGGGGTATTTCTCCACATTGGTATGTCCGATTTACACCAACCTTGGGTCCATAGTTCCCCATGTCTTCCTTAAGCATCGTGCACAATTTCAGGTCATCACCACAAGGTGGCGCTCTTTAAAATGAAGGAGTTTATAGCTCTACAACGGTATGTGTGATTAAGATGAAACTTGGTACGCTGCTTCCCCATGGCTCCCTGAGGCTCACCTAAAAAGGACAAAAAAATCACGCCACTAGGTGGTGCTCTTGTTGGCATGATAAATCACTGTGCGTAATAGTTATGAATATGAAATTCACAGGGCACGTGTAGAGTGCTGCCTGAAGCTCACATACCAAAAATCGTGTTTGTCCTGCTTGTAGCGCCCCCTACAGGATAAAAAAACATCAGCCCCGGCGCCACGTTTCACCGACATGTACGAAACTCAATAGGCATGTATAATGTGCCGGGGCGTAAAAAAAGCCTCTTGGACCCATACCTCAAATCCCACAGGAAGTCGGCTATTTTCATTTAAAATTTGCACTTTTGGCGGCCATTTTGTGGTCATTTTGACTCTTTGGGCTTGTTTTAGAACTAACTGCTCCTAGGGAATTTATCAGATCTGCTTCAAAATTGGTCAGTACAGTCAAAACATGGTGCTGAATGAACGCATTATATTTTGTGACTGTACGTTGAAGGGCGTGTCCGTGGCGTGCCCTCAAAGTTGGCCATTTAGAACAAATGTCACACTGTGATGTCATTTTTGCATTTCAGGGCTTCTATTTGAATGATGCCCTCCTACAGCTTCTATCGGATCTTCTTCAAAATTGGGCAGTCCAGTCACAACATGGTGCTGAATGAACGCATTATATTTTGTGACTGTACGTTGAAGGGCGTGTCCGTGGCGTGCCCTCAAAGTTGGCCATTTTGAACAAATGTCACACTGTGATGTCATTTTGGCCTTTCAGGGCTTCTATTTGAATGATCTCCTCCTACAGGTTCTAACGGATCTTCTTCAAAATTGGGCAGTACAGTCACAACATGGTGCTGAATGAACGCATTTCATTTTGTGACTGTACGTTGAAGGGCGTGTCCGTGGCGTGCCCTCAAAGGTGGCCATTTTGAAGCCCGTGGTCCTGTATTTGAACAAACAAACTCCTTGAGACTTTATCAGATCTGCTTCAAAACTTGACAGTACTCTTGAATAATCTTGCTGATTACAAGTTGTGCTATTTATGACTGTACGTTGAAGGGCGTGTCCCAGGTGTCTCGTCAAAGTTGGACATTTTGAATTCTGTGGTCTTCTTTTTTTTCAAAGTGATGAAACACAAACACCCCTCCGCTCCCACTAGCCACATCTACAAACCATATTTCCTAGGGAGTATTGTTCGTGGAGCATAGTGGGAAACCGCTGGAAGTCACTTATTAAATTGCAAGATAAATAGGGGACTTATCAAATCGACTTCAAAATTGGACAGTCTTATAAAAACAAAGTGTACATGAAGAATTGAGCTATTTGTGACTGTACGTCAAACTGCGTGCCACTGACCCCTTGTCGAATTCAGATGATTTTCCATTAAGCGGTACTCATAACTTCAGTGTGCAATGTCCAATTTCCAATAAACTTCATATATTCTGTAACAGTCTCGCCCTGAACACGTCCTCATAACATCAGCCTACGTATTACAGTCCCGCCCTGAACTTGTCTACGTGACAAGATTCAGATAAAGTGAAAGCACAGCATACTGGCAACAGGAAGGAAGCGCTGCGTGGCGATACGGAGCTGATTTGGAGCAGATTTACGTGACGTATTCGCGTTGCGGTCCGCGCTTGTTACGACGGCACGTGCGTGGCCTCGGCGCACCCCGACCGCACGTGACGCGTTTGCGGCGCGCCCGACGAGCGCCGGGTGCGAGGTCCCGCCCAACGCTGCTTGCAGCTTTTTAATTAGGGTTAGGGACCGAGCCAGTATGAACTGGAAGGTCTCTATTGTTTTTCCTTCGTTTATTATTATTATTATTATTATTTTTAGGCCACTTTAACTGCGATTTTGACCCCTTGCGCATTTACACACTCTCAATTTTATTTGGCAGATTTGTGAAGCCTCATTTAACTTAGAGATTCTATGCGTCACATGCGGATCAGCCAGTAGGTAGGCCACTAGGTGGCGCTGTTTAGGCCGATTTTGAAAGGCTAATAACTCCCGCATAGTTTGTCTCACATTCAAAAACCTTATATCCACGCGTTCGGTGAATGGGGCTGAACCTCCCCATATAGGCCACGCCCACTTCCGCCTAGATTTTTTTTTTTTCTAGAGCGCAAAATGTCCATAAATCACTTTTTCGTGTTCCTCCTACACACTTTGTCCGATGCGCACGAAACTTTGCACGTTTCATCTGTGGACCGTCCTGACAACAAAAGTAATTTGAAGAATTTTGATATTATAAAACATAAGGAAGTTATAAAATTAGCACTTCCTGTTGATTTTTCATCAAAAAAGGAAGTGGACCATTTCTCCACATTGGTATGTCCGATTTACACCAAGCTTGGGTCCATAGTTCCCCATGTCTTCCTTAGGCATCGTGCACAATTTCAGGTCATCACCACAAGGTGGCGCTCTTTAAAATGAAGGAGTTTATAGCTCTACAACGGTATGTGTGATTAAGATGAAACTTTGTATGCTGCTTCCCCATGGCTCCCTGAGGCTCACCTAAAAAGGAAAAAAAATCACGCCACTAGGTGGCACTCTGGTGGCAGGGTAAATCACTGTGCGGACACCGTAATAGTTATGAATATGAAAGTTATTGGGCGCGTGTAGACTGCTGCCTGAAGCTCACATACCAAAAATCGTGTTTGTCCTGCTTGTAGCGCCCCCTACAGGATAAAAAAACATCAGCCCCGGCGCCACGTTTCACCGACATGTACGAAACTCAATAGGCATGTATAATGTGCCGGGGCGTACAAAAAAGCCTCTTGGACCCATACTTCAAATCCCACAGGAAGTCGGCTATTTTCGTTGAAAATTTGCACTTTTGGCAGCCATTTTGTGGTCATTTTGACCTTTTGGGCTTCTTTGTGAACTAACTGCTCCTAGGGAATTTATCGGATCTGCTTAAAAATTGGTCAGTACAGTCAAAACATGGTGCTGAATGAACGCATTATATTTTGTGACTGTACGTTGAAGGGCGTGTCCGTGGCGTGCCCTCAAAGTTGGCCATTTAGAACAAATGTCACACTGTGATGTCATTTTGGCCTTTCAGGGCTTCTATTTGAATGATGCCCTCCTACAGCTTCTATTGGATCTTCTTCAAAATTGGGCAGTCCAGTCACAACGTGGTGCTGAATGAACGCATTATATTTTGTGACTGTACGTTGAAGGGTGTGTCCGTGGCGTGCCCTCAAAGTTGGCCATTTAGAACAAATGTCACACTGTGATGTCATTTTGGCCTTTCAGGGCTTCTATTTGAATGATCTCCTCCTACACGTTCTAACGGATCTTCTTCAAAATTGGGCAGTACAGTCACAACATGGTGCTGAATGAACGCATTTCATTTTGTGACTGTACGTTGAAGGGCGTGTCCGTGGCGTGCCCTCAAAGTTGGCCATTTTGAAGCCTGTGGTCCTGTATTTGAACAAACAAAGTCCTTGAGACTTTATCAGATCTGCTTCAAAACTTGACAGGACTCTTGAATAATCTTGCTGATTACAAGTTGTGCTATTTATGACTGTACGTTGAAGGGCGTGTCCCAGGTGTCTCGTCAAAGTTGGACATTTTGAATTCTGTGGTCTTTTTTTTTCAAAGTGATGAAACACAAACACCCCTCCACTCCCACTAGCCACATCTACAAACCATATTTCCTAGGGAGTATTGTTCGTGGAGCATAGTGGGAAACTGCTGGAAGTCAAGTGTTAAATTGCAAGATAAATAGGGGACTTATCAAATCGACTTCAAAATTGGACAGTCTTATAAAAACAAAGTGTACATGAAGAATTGAGCTATTTGTGACTGTACGTCAAACGGCGTGCCACTGACCCCTTGTCGAATTCAGATGATTTTCCATTAAGCGGTACTCATAACTTCAGTGTGCAATGTCCAATTTCCAATAAACTTCATATATTCTGTAACAGTCTCGCCCTGAACACGTCCTCATTACATCAGCCTACGTATTACAGTCCTGCCATGAACTTGTCTACGTGACAAGATTCAGATAAAGTGAAAGCACAGCATACTGGCACCAGGAAGGAAGCGCTGCGTGGCGATACGGAGCTGATTTGGAGCAGATTTACGTGACGTATTCGCGTTGCGGTCCGCGCTTGTTACGACGGCACGTGCGTGGCCTCGGCGCACCCCGACCGCACGTGACGCGTTTGCGGCGCGCCCCGACGAGCGCCGGGTGCGAGGTCCCGCCCAACGCTGCTTGCAGCTTTATATTAGGGACCGAGCCATATGACGGAAGGTCTCTATTGTTTTTCCTTCGTTTATTATTATTATTATTATTATTTTTCAGAACTTTGAGCGCATTTTTCACCCCCTTAACAATTCTAATATTCGCATTTTATTTGGCACATTTGTCAAGCCTCATTTAAATTGGAGATTCTATGCGTCACATGCAGGTCAGCCACTAGGAAGGCCACTAGGTGGCGCTATTTGTAGGCCAATTTCGATACGCTAATAACTCCCGCATAGTTTGTCTCACATTCAAAAACCTTATATCCACGCGTTCGGTGAATGGAGCTGAACCTCCCCATATAGGCCACGCCCACTTCCGCCTAGATTTTTTTTTTTCTAGAGCGCAAAATGTCCATAAATCACTTTTTCGTGTTCCTCCTACACACTTTGTCCGATGCGCACGAAACTTTGCACGTTTCATCTGTGGACCGTCCTGACAACAAAAGTAATTTGAAGAATTTTGATATTATAAAACATAAGGAAGTTATACAATTAGCACTTCCTGTTGATTTTTCGTCAAAAAAGGAAGTGGGGTATTTCTCCACATTGGTATGTCCGATTTACACCAACCTTGGGTCCATAGTTCCCCATGTCTTCCTTAAGCATCGTGCACAATTTCAGGTCATCACCACAAGGTGGCGCTCTTTAAAATGAAGGAGTTTATATCTCTGCATCGGTAAGTGTGATTAAGATGAAACTTGGTACGCTGCTTCCCCATGGCTCCCTGAGGCTCACCTAAAAAGGACAAAAAAAATACGCCACTAGGTGGTGCTCTTTTGGCATGATAAATCACTCGTAATAGTTATGAATATGAAATTCACAGGGTACGTGTAGAGTGGTGCCTGAAGCTCACATACCAAAAATCCTGTTTGTCCTGCTTGTAGCGCCCCCTACAGGATAAAAAAACATCAGCCCCGGCGCCACGTTTCACCGACATGTACGAAACTCAATAGGCATGTATAATGTGCCGGGGCGTACAAAAAAGCCTCTTGGACCCATACCTCAAATCCCACAGGAAGTCGGCTATTTTCATTTAAAATTTGCACTTTTGGCGGCCATTTTGTGGTCATTTTGACTCTTTGGGCTTGTTTTAGAACTAACTGCTCCTAGGGAATTTATCAGATCTGCTTCAAAATTGGTCAGTACAGTCAAAACATGGTGCTGAATGAACGCATTATATTTTGTGACTGTACGTTGAAGGGCGTGTCCGTGGCGTGCCCTCAAAGTTGGCCATTTAGAACAAATGTCCACTGTGATGTCATTTTTGCATTTCAGGGCTTCTATTTGAATGATCCCCTCCTACAGCTTCTATCGGATCTTCTTCAAAATTGGGCAGTCCAGTCACAACATGGGGCTGAATGAACGCAATATATTTGGTGACTGTACGTTGAAGGGCGTGTCCGTGGCGTGCCCTCAAAGTTGGCCATTTAGAACAAATGTCACACTGTGATGTCATTTTGGCCTTTCAGGGCTTCTATTTGAATGATTTCCTCTGACACGTTCTAACGGATCTTCTTCAAAATTGGGCAGTACAGTCACAACGTGGTGCTGAATGAAAGCAATATATTTTGTGACTGTACGTTGAAGGGCGTGTCCGTGGCGTGCCCTCAAAGTTGGCCATTTAGAACAAATGTCACACTGTGATGTCATTTTGGCCTTTCAGGGCTTCTATTTGAATGATCCTCCTCCTATGGTCTTTTAAAATTGGGTCACAACATTATTTTGGTGTGTAGTTGAAGGGTTCTTCTATTTTTACTGATCTTCTTCAAAATTGGGCAGTACAGTCACAACATGGTGCTGAATGAACGCATTTCATTTTGTGACTGTACGTTGAAGGGCGTGTCCGTGGCCTGCCGTCAAAGTTGGCCATTTTGAAGCCCGTGGTCCTGTATTTGAACAAACAAACTCCTTGAGACATTATCAGATCTGCTTCAAAACTTGACAGTACTCTTGAATAATCTTGCTGATTACAAGTTGTGCTATTTATGACTGTACGTTGAAGGGCGTGTCCCAGGTGTCTCGTCAAAGTTGGACATTTTGAATTCTGTGGTCTTTTTTTTCAAAGTGATGAAACACAAACACCCCTCCGCTCCCACTAGCCACATCTACAAACCATATTTCCTAGGGAGTATTGTTCGTGGAGCATAGTGTGAAACCGCTGGAAGTCACTTATTAAATTGCAAGATAAATAGGGGACTTATCAAATCGACTTCAAAATTGGACAGTCTTATAAAAACAAAGTGTACATGAAGAATTGAGCTATTTGTGACTGTACGTCAAACTGCGTGCCACTGACCCCTTGTCGAATTCAGATGATTTTCCATTAAGCGGTACTCGTAACTTCAGTGTGCAATGTCCAATTTCCAATAAACTTCATATATTCTGTAACAGTCTCGCCCTGAACGCGTCCTCATAACATCAGCCTACGTATTACAGTCCCGCCCTGAACTTGTCTACGTGACAAGATTCAGATAAAGTGAAAGCACAGCATACTGGCACCAGGAAGGAAGCGCTGCGTGGCGATACGGAGCTGATTTGGAGCAGATTTACGTGACGTATTCGCGTTGCGGTCCGCGCTTGTTACGACGGCACGTGCGTGGCCTCGGCGCACCCCGACCGCACGTGACGCGTTTGCGGCGCGCCCCGACGAGCGCCGGGTGCGAGGTCCCGCCCAACGCTGCTTGCAGCTTTAATTAGGGACCGAGCCAGTATGAACTGGAAGGTCTCTATTGTTTTTTTTTTATTATTATTATTATTATTTTTTTAGCAACTTTGCTCGCATTTTTCACCCCCTTAACAATTATAATATTCGCATTTTATTTGGCACATTTGTCAAGCCTCATTTAAATTGGAGATTCTATGCGTCACATGCAGGTCAGCCACTAGGAAGGCCACTAGGTGGCGCTATTTGTAGGCCAATTTCGATACGCTAATAACTCCCGCATAGTTTGTCTCACATTCAAAAACCTTATATCCACGCGTTCGGTGAATGGAGCTGAACCTCCCCATATAGGCCACGCCCACTTCCGCCTAGATTTTTTTTTTTTCTAGAGCGCAAAATGTCCATAAATCACTTTTTCGTGTTCCTCCTACACACTTTTTCCGATGCGCACGAAACTTTGCACGTTTCATCTGTGGACCGTCCTGACAACAAAAGTAATTTGAAGAATTTTGATATTATAAAACATAAGGAAGTTATACAATTAGCACTTCCTGTTGATTTTTCGTCAAAAAAGGAAGTGGGGTATTTCTCCACATTGGTATGTCCGATTTACACCAACCTTGGGTCCATAGTTCCCCATGTCTTCCTTAAGCATCGTGCACAATTTCAGGTCATCACCACAAGGTGGCGCTCTTTAAAATGAAGGAGTTTATAGCTCTACAACGGTATGCGTGATTAAGATGAAACTTGGTACGCTGCTTCCCCATGGCTCCCTGAGGCTCACCTAAAAAGGACAAAAAAATACGCCACTAGGTGGTGCTCTTTTGGCATGATAAATCACTCGTAATAGTTATGAATATGAAATTCACAGGGTACGTGTAGAGTGGTGCCTGAAGCTCACATACCAAAAATCCTGTTTGTCCTGCTTGTAGCGCCCCCTACAGGATAAAAAAACATCAGCCCCGGCGCCACGTTTCACCGACATGTACGAAACTCAATAGGCATGTATAATGTGCCGGGGCGTACAAAAAAGCCTCTTGGACCCATACCTCAAATCCCACAGGAAGTCGGCTATTTTCATTTAAAATTTGCACTTTTGGCGGCCATTTTGTGGTCATTTTGACTCTTTGGGCTTGTTTTAGAACTAACTGCTCCTAGGGAATTTATCAGATCTGCTTCAAAATTGGTCAGTACAGTCAAAACATGGTGCTGAATGAACGCATTATATTTTGTGACTGTACGTTGAAGGGCGTGTCCGTGGCGTGCCCTCAAAGTTGGCCATTTAGAACAAATGTCACTGTGATGTCATTTTTGCATTTCAGGGCTTCTATTTGAATGATCCCCTCCTACAGCTTCTATCGGATCTTCTTCAAAATTGGGCAGTCCAGTCACAACATGGGGCTGAATGAACACATTATATTTGGTGACTGTACGTTGAAGGGCGTGTCCGTGGCGTGCCCTCAAAGTTGGCCATTTAGAACAAATGTCACACTGTGATGTCATTTTGGCCTTTCAGGGCTTCTATTTGAATGATTTCCTCTGACACGTTCTAACGGATCTTCTTCAAAATTGGGCAGTACAGTCACAACATGGTGCTGAATGAACGCATTTCATTTTGTGACTGTACGTTGAAGGGCGTGTCCGTGGCCTGCCCTCAAAGTTGGCCATTTTGAAGCCTGTGGTCTTGTATTTGAACAAACAAACTCCTTGAGACTTTATCAGATCTGCTTCAAAACTTGACAGTACTCTTGAATAATCTTGCTGATTACAAGTTGTGCTATTTATGACTGTACGTTGAAGGGCGTGTCCCAGGTGTCTCGTCAAAGTTGGACATTTTGAATTCTGTGGTCTTTTTTTTCAAAGTGATGAAACACAAACACCCCTCCGCTCCCACTAGCCACATCTACAAACCATATTTCCTAGGGAGTATTGTTCGTGGAGCATAGTGTGAAACCGCTGGAAGTCACTTATTAAATTGCAAGATAAATAGGGGACTTATCAAATCGACTTCAAAATTGGACAGTCTTATAAAAACAAAGTGTACATGAAGAATTGAGCTATTTGTGACTGTACGTCAAACTGCGTGCCACTGACCCCTTGTCAAATTCAGATGATTTTCCATTAAGCGGTACTCATAACTTCAGTGTGCAATGTCCAATTTCCAATAAACTTCATATATTCTGTAACAGTCTCGCCCTGAACACGTCCTCATAACATCAGCCTACGTATTACAGTCCCGCCCTGAACTTGTCTACGTGACAAGATTCAGATAAAGTGAAAGCACAGCATACTGGCAACAGGAAGGAAGCGCTGCGTGGCGATACGGAGCTGATTTGGAGCAGATTTACGTGACGTATTCGCGTTGCGGTACGCGCTTGTTACGACGGCACGTGCGTGGCCTCGGCGCACCCCGACCGCACGTGACGCGTTTGCGGCGCGCCCCGACGAGCGCCGGGTGCGAGGTCCCGCCCAACGCTGCTTGCAGCTTTAATTAGGGACCGAGCCAGTATGAACTGGAAGGTCCCTATTGTTTTTCCTATTTTATTATTATTATTATTTTCTAGTAAACTTTAACTGCATTTTTCACCCCCTTAACATTTATAATATTCTCAATTTTATTTGGCACATTTGTCAAGCCTCATTTAAACTTGGAGATTCTATGCGTCACATGCAGATCAGCCACTAGGTAGGCCACTAGGTGGCGCTATTTGTAGGCCAATTTTGATAGGCTAATAACTCCCGCATAGTTTGTCTCACATTCAAAAACCTTATATCCACGCGTTCGGTGAATGGAGCTGAACCTCCCCATATAGGCCACGCCCACTTCCGCCTAGATTTTTTTTTTCTAGAGCGCAAAATGTCCATAAATCACTTTTTGGTGTTCCTCCTACACACTTTGTCCGATTCGCACGAAATTTTGCACGTAGCATCTGTGGACCGTCCTGACAACAAAAGTAATTTGAAGAATTTTGATATTTTAAAAAATAAGGAAGTTATACAATTAGCACTTCCTGTTGATTTTTCGTCAAAAAAGGAAGTGGGGTATTTCTCCACATTGGTATGTCCGATTTACACCAACCTTGGGTCCATAGTTCCCCATGTCTTCCTTAGGCATCGTGCACAATTTCAGGTCATCACCACAAGGTGGCGCTCTTTAAAATGAAGGAGTTTATAGCTCTACAACGGTATGTGTGATTAAGATGAAACTTGGTACGCTGCTTCCCCATGGCTCCCTGAGGCTCCCCTAAAAAGGCAAAAAAATCACGCCACTAGGTGGCACTCTGGTGGCAGGGTAAATCACTGTGCGGATACTGTAATAGTTATGAATATGAAATTCACAGAGCACGTGTAGAGTGGTGCCTGAAGCTCACATACCAAAAATCGGGTTTCTCGTGCTTGTAGCGCCCCCTACAGGATAAAAAAACATCAGCCCCGGCGCCACGTTTCATCGATATGTACGAAACTCAATAGGCATGTATAATGTGCCGGGGCGTACAAAAAAGCCTCTTGGACCCATACCTCAAATCCCACAGGAAGTCGGCTATTTTCATTTAAAATTTGCACTTTTGGCAGCCATTTTGTGGTCATTTTGACTCTTTGGGCTTCTTTTTGAACTAACTGCTCCTAGGGAATTTATCAGATCTGCTTCAAAATTGGTCAGTACAGTCAAAACATGGTGCTGAATGAACGCATTATATTTGGTGACTGTACGTTGAAGGGCGTGTCCGTGGCGTGCCCTCAAAGTTGGCCATTTTGAACAAATGTCACACTGTGATGTCATTTTTGCATTTCAGGGCTTCTATTTGAATGATGCCCTCCTACAGCTTCTATCGGATCTTCTTCAAAATTGGGCAGTCCAGTCACAACATGGTGCTGAATGAACGCATTATATTTTGTGACTGTACGTTGAAGGGCGTGTCCGTGGCGTGCCCTCAAAGTTGGCCATTTTGAACAAATGTCACACTGTGATGTCATTTTGGCCTTTCAGGGCTTCTATTTGAATGATTTCCTCCTGACAGGTTCTAACGGATCTTCTTCAAAATTGGGCAGTACAGTCACAACATGGTGCTGAATGAACGCATTTCATTTTGTGACTGTACGTTGAAGGGCGTGTCCGTGGCGTGCCGTCAAAGGTGGCCATTTTGAAGCCCGTGGTCTTGTATTTGAACAAACAAACTCCTTGAGACTTGATCAGATCTGCTTCAAAACTTGACAGTACTCTTGAATAATCTTGCTGATTACAAGTTGTGCTATTTATGACTGTACGTTGAAGGGCGTGTCCCAGGTGTCTCGTCAAAGTTGGACATTTTGAATTCTGTGGTCTTTTTTTTCAAAGTGATGAAACACAAACACCCCTCCGCTCCCACTAGCCACATCTACAAACCATATTTTCTAGGGAGTATTGTTCGTGGAGCATAGTGTGAAACCGCTGGAAGTCACTTGTTAAATTGCAAGATAAATAGGGGACTTATCAAATGGACTTCAAAATTGGACAGTCATATAGAAACAAAGTGTACATGAAGAATTGAGCTATTTGTGACTGTACGTCAAACTGCGTGCCACTGACCCCTTGTCGAATTCAGATGATTTTCCATGAAGCGGTACTCGTTACTTCAGTGTGCAATGTCCAATTTCCAATAAACTTCATATATTCTGTAACAGTCTCGCCCTGAACACGTCCTCATAACATCAGCCTACGTATTACAGTCCCGCCCTGAACTTGTCTACGTGACAAGATTCAGATAAAGTGAAAGAACAGCATACTGGCACCAGGAAGGAAGTGCTGCGTGGCGATACGGAGCTGATTTGGAGCTGATTTACGTGACGTATTCGCGTTGCGGTCCGCGCTTGTTGCGACGGCACGCGGCGTGGCCTCGGCGCACCCCGACCGCACGTGGCGCGTTTGCGGCGCGCCCCGACGAGCGCCGGGTGCGAGGTCCCGCCCAACGCTTGCTGCATTGTTTCAGCTTTATTATTATTATTATTTTTCAGAACTTTGAGCGCATTTTTCACCCCCTTACCAATTATAATATTCGCATTTTATTTGGCACATTTGTCAAGCTTCTTTTAAATTGGAGATTCTTCATGCAGATCAGCCACTAGGTAGGCCACTAGGTGGCGCTATTTAAAGCAAGATCTTGAAAGGCTAATAACTCCCGCATAGTTTGTCTCACATTCAAAAACCTTATATCCACGCGTTCGGTGAATGGAGCTGAACCTCCCCATATAGGCCACGCCCACTTCCGCCTAGATTTTTTTTTTTTCTAGAGCGCAAAATGTCCATAAATGACTTTTTGGTGTTCATCCTACACACTTTGTCCGATTCGCACGAAATTTTGCACGTAGCATCTGTGGACCGCCCTGACAACAAAAGTAATTTGAAGAATTTTGATATTTTAAAAAATAAGCGATGTTATAAAATTAGCACTTCCTGTTGATTTTTCGTCAAAAAGGAAGTGGACCATTTCTCCACATTTGTATGTCCGATCTACACCAACCTTGGGTACATAGTTCCCCATGTCTTCCTTAGGCATCGTGCACAATTTCAGGTCATCACCACAAGGTGGCGCTCTTTCAAATGAAGGAGTTTATATCTCTACAACGGTATGTGTGATTAAGATGAAACTTGGTACGCTGCTTCCCCATGGCTCCCTGAGGCTCCCCTAAAAAGGCAAAAAAATCACGCCACTAGGTGGCGCTCTTTTGGCAGGGTAAATCACTGTGCACACACCATAATAGTTATGAATATGAAATTCACTGGGCACGTGTAGAGTGGTGCCTGAAGCTCACATACCAAAGATCGGGTTTGTCGTGCTTGTAGCGCCCCCTATAGGATAAAAAAACATCAGCCCCGGCGCCACGTTTCATCGATATGTACGAAACTCAATAGGCATGTATAATGTGCCGGGGCGTACAAAAAAGCCTCTTGGACCCATACCTCAAATCCCACAGGAAGTCGGCTATTTACATTTAAAATTTGCACTTTTGGCAGCCATTTTGTGCTCATTTTGACCTTTTGGGCTTCTTTGTGAACTAACTGATCCTAGGGAATTTATCGGATCTGCTTCAAAATTGGTCAGTACAGTCAAAACATGGTGCTTAATGAACGCATTATATTTGGTGACTGTACGTTGAAGGGCGTGTCCGTGGCGTGCCCTCAAAGTTGGCCATTTAGAACTAATGTCACACTGTGATGTCATTTTTGCATTTCAGGGCTTCTATTTGATTGATGCCCTCCTACAGCTTCTATCGGATCTTCTTCAAAATTAAACAGTCCAGTCACAACATGGTGCTGAATGAACGCATTATATTTTGTGACTGTACGTTGAAGGGCGTGTCCGTGGCGTGCCCTCAAAGTTCGCCATTTTGAACAAATGTCACACTGTGATGTCATTTTGGCCTTTCAGGGCTTCTATTTGAATGATCTCCTAATACAGGTTCTATCGGATCTTCTTCAAAATTGGGCAGTACAGTCACAACATGGTGCTGAATGAACGCATTATATTTTGTGACTGTACGTTGAAGGGCGTGTCCGGGGCGTGCCCTCAAAGTTGGCCATTTAGAACAAATGTCACACTGTGATGTCATTTTGGCCTTTCAGGGCTTCTATATGAATGATCTCCTCCTACACGTTCTAACGGATCTTCTTCAAAATTGGGCAGTACAGTCACAACATGGTGCTGAATGAACGCATTTCATTTTGTGACTGTACGTTGAAGGGCGTGTCCGTGGCGTGCCGTCAAAGGTGGCCATTTTGAAGCCCGTGGTCCTGTATTTGAACAAACAAAGTCCTTGAGACTTTATCAGATCTGCTTCAAAACTTGACAGTACTCTTGAATAATCTTGCTGATTACAAGTTGTGCTATTTATGACTGTACGTTGAAGGGCGTGTCCCAGGTGTCTCGTCAAAGTTGGACATTTTGAATGATGTGGTCTTTTTTTTCAAAGTGATGAAACACAAACACCCCTCCGCTCCCACTAGCCACATCTAAAAACCATATTTCCTAGGGAGTATTGTTCGTGGAGCATAGTGGGAAACCGCTGGAAGTCACTTATTAAATTGCAAGATAAATAGGGGACTTATCAAATCAACTTCATAATTGGACAGTCTTATAAAAACAAAGTGTACATGAAGAATTGAGCTATTTGTGACTGTACGTCAAACTGCGTGCCACTGACCCCTTGTCGAATTCTGATGATTTTCCATTAAGCAGTACTCATAACTTCAGTGTGCAATGTCCAATTTCCAATAAACTTGATATATTCTGTAACAGTCTCGCCCTGAACGCGTCCTCATAACATCAGCCTACGTATTACAGTCCCGCCCTGAACTTGTCTACGTGACAAGATTCAGATAAAGTGAAAGCACAGCATACTGGCAACAGGAAGGAAGCGCTGCGTGGCGATACGGAGCTGATTTGGAGCAGATTTACGTGACGGGTTCGCGTTGCGGTCCGCGCTTGTTACGACGGCACGTGCGTGGCCTCGGCGCACCCCGACCGCACGTGACGCGTTTGCGGCCCGCCCCGACGAGCGCCGGGTGCGAGGTCCCGCCCAACGCTGCTTGCAGCTTTAATTATTATTATTATTTTTAGCGTCTTTGCTCGCATTTTTCACCCCCTAAACATTTGCAATATTTGCATTTTATTTGGCACATTTGTCAAGCCTCATTTAAATTAGAGATTCTATGCGTCACATGCAGGTCAGCCACTAGGAAGGCCACTAGGTGGCGCTGTTTGTAGGCCAATTTCGATACGCCAATAACTCCCGCATAGTTTGTCTCACATTCAAAAACCTTATATCCACGCGTTCGGTGAATTGAGCTGAACCTCCCGGTATAGGCCACGCCCACTTCCGCCTATAATTTTTTTTTTCTAGAGCGCAAAATGTCCATAAATGACCGTTTCATGTTCCTCCCACACACTTTTGTCCGATTCGCACGAAATTTTGCACGTAGCATCTGTGGACCGTCCTGACAACAAAAGTAATTTGAACATTTTTGATATTTTAAAAGATAAGGAAGTTATAAAATTAGCACTTCCTGTTGATTTTTCGTCAAAAAAGGAAGTGGGGTATTTCTCCACATTGGTATGTCCGATTTACACCAACCTTGGGTCCATAGTTCCCCATGTCTTCCTTAAGCATCGTGCACAATTTCAGGTCATCACCACAAGGTGGCGCTCTTTAAAATGAAGGAGTTTATAGCTCTACAACGGTATGTGTGATTAAGATGAAACTTGGTACGCTGCTTCCCCATGGCTCCCTGAGGCTCACCTTAAAAGGACAAAAAAAATACGCCACTAGGTGGTGCTCTTTTGGCATGATAAATCACTCGTAATAGTTATGAATATGAAATTCACAGGGCACGTGTAGACTGCTGCCTGAAGCTCACATACCAAAAATCGTGTTTGTCCTGCTTGTAGCGCCCCCTACAGGATAAAAAAACATCAGCCCCGGCGCCACGTTTCACCGACATGTACGAAACTCAATAGGCATGTATAATGTGCCGGGGCGTACAAAAAAGCCTCTTGGACCCATACCTCAAATCCCACAGGAAGTCGGCTATTTTCATTTAAAATTTGCACTTTTGGCGGCCATTTTGTGGTCATTTTGACTCTTTGGGCTTGTTTTAGAACTAACTGCTCCTAGGGAATTTATCAGATCTGCTTCAAAATTGGTCAGTACAGTCACAACATGGTGCTGAATGAACGCATTATATTTTGTGACTGTACGTTGAAGGGCGTGTCCGTGGCGTGCCCTCAAAGTTGGCCATTTTGAAGTCTGTGGTCTTGTATTTGAACAAACAAACTCCTAGAGAATTTATCAGATCGGCTTCAAAACTTGACAGTACTCTTGAATAATCTTGCTGATTACAAGTTGTGCTATTTATGACTGTACGTTGAAGGGCCTGTCCCAGGTGTCTCGTCAAAGTTGGACATTTTGAATTCTGTGGTCTTTTTTTCAAAGTGATGAAACACAAACACCCCTCCGCTCCCACTAGCAACATCTACAAACCATATTTCCTAGGGAGTATTGTTCGTGGAGCATAGTGTGAAACCGCTGGAAGTCACTTATTAAATTGCAAGATAAATAGGGGACTTATCAAATCGACTTCAAAATTGGACAGTCTTATAAAAACAAAGTGTACATGAAGAATTGAGCTATTTGTGACTGTACGTCAAACTGCGTGCCACTGACCCCTTGTCAAATTCAGATGATTTTCCATTAAGCGGTACTCATAACTTCAGTGTGCAATGTCCAATTTCCAATAAACTTCATATATTCTGTAACAGTCTGGACCTGAACGCGTCCTCATTGCATCAGCCTACGTATTACAGTCCCGCCCTGAACTTGTCTACGTGACAAGATTCAGATAAAGTGAAAGCACAGCATACTGGCAACAGGAAGGAAGCGCTGCGTGGCGATACGGAGCTGATTTGGAGCAGTTTTACGTGACGTATTCGCGTTGCCGTCCGCGCTTGTTACGACGGCACGTGCGTGGCCTCGGCGCACCCCGACCGCACGTGACGCGTTTGCGGCCCGCCCCGACGAGCGCCGGGTGCGAGGTCCCGCCCAACGCTGCTTGCAGCTTTAATTAGGGACCGAGCCAGTATGAACTGGAAGGTCCATATTGTTTTTCCTATGTTTATTATTATTATTATTTTTAGCGTCTTTGCTCGCATTTTTCACCCCCTAAACATTTGCAATATTTGCATTTTATTTGGCACATTTGTCAAGCCTCATTTAAATTAGAGATTCTATGCGTCACATGCAGGTCAGCCACTAGGAAGGCCACTAGGTGGCGCTGTTTGTAGGCCAATTTCGATACGCCAATAACTCCCGCATAGTTTGTCTCACATTCAAAAACCTTATATCCACGCGTTCGGTGAATTGAGCTGAACCTCCCGGTATAGGCCACGCCCACTTCCGCCTATAATTTTTTTTTTCTAGAGCGCAAAATGTCCATAAATGACCGTTTCATGTTCCTCCCACACACTTTTGTCCGATTCGCACGAAATTTTGCACGTAGCATCTGTGGACCGTCCTGACAACAAAAGTAATTTGAACATTTTTGATATTTTAAAAGATAAGGAAGTTATAAAATTAGCACTTCCTGTTGATTTTTCGTCAAAAAAGGAAGTGGGGTATTTCTCCACATTGGTATGTCCGATTTACACCAACCTTGGGTCCATAGTTCCCCATGTCTTCCTTAAGCATCGTGCACAATTTCAGGTCATCACCACAAGGTGGCGCTCTTTAAAATGAAGGAGTTTATAGCTCTACAACGGTATGTGTGATTAAGATGAAACTTGGTACGCTGCTTCCCCATGGCTCCCTGAGGCTCACCTTAAAAGGACAAAAAAAATACGCCACTAGGTGGTGCTCTTTTGGCATGATAAATCACTCGTAATAGTTATGAATATGAAATTCACAGGGCACGTGTAGACTGCTGCCTGAAGCTCACATACCAAAAATCGTGTTTGTCCTGCTTGTAGCGCCCCCTACAGGATAAAAAAACATCAGCCCCGGCGCCACGTTTCACCGACATGTACGAAACTCAATAGGCATGTATAATGTGCCGGGGCGTACAAAAAAGCCTCTTGGACCCATACCTCAAATCCCACAGGAAGTCGGCTATTTTCATTTAAAATTTGCACTTTTGGCGGCCATTTTGTGGTCATTTTGACTCTTTGGGCTTGTTTTAGAACTAACTGCTCCTAGGGAATTTATCAGATCTGCTTCAAAATTGGTCAGTACAGTCAAAACATGGTGCTGAATGAACGCATTATATTTGGTGACTGTACGTTGAAGAGCGTGTCCGTGGCGTGCCCTCAAAGTTGGCCATTTAGAACAAATGTCACACTGTGATGTCATTTTGGCATTTCAGGGCTTCTATTTGAATGATGCCCTCCTACAGCTTCTATCGGATCTTCTTCAAAATTGGGCAGTCCAGTCACAACATGGTGCTGAATGAACGCATTATATTTTGTGACTGTACGTTGAAGGGCGTGTCCGTGGCGTGCCCTCAAAGTTGGCCATTTTGAACAAATGTCACAGTGTGATGTCATTTTGGCCTTTCAGGGCTTCTATTTGAATGATTTCCTCTGACACGTTCTAACAGATCTTCTTCAAAATTGGTCAGTACAGTCAAAACATGGTGCTGAATGAACGCCTTATATTTTGTGACTGTACGTTGAAGGGCGTGTCCGTGGCGTGCCCTCAAAGTTCGCCATTTTGAACAAATGTCACACTGTGATGTCATTTTGGCCTTTCAGGGCTTCTATTTGAATGATTTCCTCTGACACGTTCTAACGGATCTTCTTCAAAAATGGGCAGTACAGTCACAACATGGTGCTGAATGAACGCATTTCATTTTGTGACTGTACGTTGAAGGGCGTGTCCGTGGCCTGCCGTCAAAGTTGGCCATTTTGAAGCCCGTGGTCTTGTATTTGAACAAACAAACTCGAGACATTATCAGATCTGCTTCAAAACTTGACAGTACTCTTGAATAATCTTGCTGATTACAAGTTGTGCTATTTATGACTGTACGTTGAAGGGCGTGTCCCAGGTGTCTCGTCAAAGTTGGACATTTTGAATTCTGTGGTCTTTTTTTCAAAGTGATGAAACACAAACACCCCTCCGCTCCCACTAGCCACATCTACAAACCATATTTCCTAGGGAGTATTGTGCGTGAAGCATAGTGTGAAACCGCTGGAAGTCACTTATTAAATTGCAAGATAAATAGGGGACTTATCAAATCGACTTCAAAATTGGACAGTCTTATAAAAACAAAGTGTACATGAAGAATTGAGCTATTTGTGGCTGTACGTCAAACTGCGTGCCACTGACCCCTTGTCAAATTCTGATGATTTTCCATTAAGCGGTACTCGTAACTTCAGTGTGCAATGTCCAATTTCCAATAAACTTCATATATTCTGTAACAGTCTCGCCCTGAACACGTCCTCATAACATCAGCCTACGTATTACAGTCCGGCCCTGAACTTGTCTACGTGACAAGATTCAGATAAAGTGAAAGAACAGCATACTGGCACCAGGAAGGAAGCGCTGCGTGGCGATACGGAGCTGATTTGGAGCAGATTTACGTGACGTATTCGCGTTGCGGTACGCGCTTGTTACGACGGCACGTGCGTGGCCTCGGCGCACCCCGACCGCACGTGACGTGTTTGCGGCGCCCCGACGAGCGCCGGGTGCGAGGTCCCGCCCAACGCTGCTTGCAGCTTTAATTATTATTATTTTTCAGAACATTGAGCGCATTTTTCACCCCCTTACCAATTATAATATTCGCATTTTATTTGGCACATTTGTCAAGCTTCTCTAAACTCGGAGATTCTATGCAGATCAGCCACTAGGTAGGCCACTAGGTGGCGCTATTTAAAAAAATCTTGAAAGGCTAATAACTCCCGCATAGTTTGTCTCACATTCAAAAACCTTATATCCACGCGTTCGGTGAATGGAGCTGAACCTCCCCATATAGGCCACGCCCACTTCCGCCTAGATTTTTTTTTTTTTCTAGAGCGCAAAATGTCCATAAATGACTTTTTGGTGTTCATCCTACACACTTTGTCCGATTCGCACGAAATTTTGCACGTAGCATCTGTGGACCGCCCTGACAACAAAAGTAATTTGAAGAATTTTGATATTTTAAAAAATAAGCGTGTTATAAAATTAGCACTTCCTGTTGATTTTTCGTCAAAAAAGGAAGTGGACCATTTCTCCACATTTGTATGTCCGATCGACACCATGCTTGGGTACATAGTTCCCCATGTCTTCCTTAGGCATCGTGCACAATTTCAGGTCATCACCACAAGGTGGCGCTCTTTCAAATGAAGGAGTTTATATCTCTACAACGGTATGTGTGATTAAGATGAAACTTGGTACGCTGCTTCCCCATGGCTCCCTGAGGCTCCCCTAAAAAGGAAAAAAATCACGCCACTAGGTGGCACTCTGGTGGCAGGGTAAATCACTGTGCACACACCATAATAGTTATGAATATGAAATTCACTGGGCACGTGTAGAGTGGTGCCTGAAGCTCACATATCAAAAATCGGGTTTGTCGTGCTTGTAGCGCCCCCCTATAGGATAAAAAAACATCAGCCCCGGCGCCACGTTTCATCGATATGTACGAAACTCAATAGGCATGTATAATGTGCCGGGGCGTACAAAAAAGCCTCTTGGACCCATACCTCAAATCCCACAGGAAGTCGGCTATTTTCATTTAAAATTTGCACTTTTGGCAGCCATTTTGTGGTCATTTTGACCTTTTGGGCTTCTTTGTGAACTAACTGATCCTAGGGAATTTATCGGATCTGCTTCAAAATTGGTCAGTACAGTCAAGACATGGTGCTGAATGAACGCATTATATTTGGTGACTGTACGTTGAAGGGCGTGTCCGTGGCGTGCCCTCAAAGTTGGCCATTTAGAACTAATGTCACATTGTGATGTCATTTTTGCATTTCAGGGCTTCTATTTGAATGATACCCTCCTACAGCTTCTATCGGATCTTCTTCAAAATTGAACAGTCCAGTCACAACATGGTGCTGAATGAACGCATTATATTTTGTGACTGTACGGTGAAGGGCGTGTCCGTGGCGTGCCCTCAAAGTTGGCCATTTAGAACAAATGTCACACTGTGATGTCATTTTGGCCTTTCAGGGCTTCTATTTGAATGATTTCCTCTGACACGTTCTAACGGATCTTCTTCAAAATTGGGCAGTACACTCACAATATGGTGCTGAATGAACGCATTTCATTTTGTGACTGTACGTTGAAGGGCGTGTCCGTGGCCTGCCGTCAAAGTTGGCCATTTTGAAGCCCGTGGTCCTGTATTTGAACAAACAAACTCCTTGAGAATTGATCACATCTGCTTCAAAACTTGACAGTACTCTTGAATAATTTTGCGGATTACAAGTTGTGCTATTTATGACTGTACGTTTAAGGGCCTGTCCCTGGTGTCTTGTCAAAGTTGGACATTTTGAATTCGGTGGTCTTTTTTTTCAAAGTGATGAAACACAAACACCCCTCCGCTCCCACTAGCCACATCTACAAACCATATTTCCTAGGGAGTATTGTTCGTGGAGCATAGTGTGAAACCGCTGGAAGTCACTTATTAAATTGCAAGATAAATAGGGGACTTATCAAATCGACTTCAAAATTGGACAGTCTTATAAAAACAAAGTGTACATGAAGAATTGAGCTATTTGTGACTGTACGTCAAACTGCGTGCCACTGACCCCTTGTCAAATTCAGATGATTTTCCATTAAGCGGTACTCATAACTTCAGTGTGCAATGTCCAATTTCCAATAAACTTCATATATTCTGTAACAGTCTCGCCCTGAACACGTCCTCATAACATCAACCTACGTATTTCAGTCCCGCCATGAACTTGTCTACGTTACAAGAATCAGATACAGTGAAACCACAGCATACTGGCCACAGGAAGGAAGCGCTGCGTGGCGATTTGGAGCTGATTTGGAGACGATTTACGTGACGTATTCGCGTTGCGGTCCGCGCTTGTTACGACGGCACGTGACGTGGCCTTGGCGAAACCCCGACCGCACGTGACGCGTTTGCGGGCGCGCCCGACGAGCGCCGGGTGCGAGGTCCCGCCCAACGCTGCTTGCAGCTTTAATTCCAGCTTTTTATTGCTGCACAGAACATCTGATTGGAGGTTTTTCAGCACAAAGTAATTTTTGTTTCTTTGAGTTCTTTAAGAAGGCCCAGGGGAGGCTTCTTGGAAGGAGCACTTTTTTGTAGGAGTTATTTTGAGGGATGTCAATTTTGTGGCATGCAAAGGAGAAATAGAATTTCCTGGGATATACTCAAACCCAGAAAGATGCCCGGTATACAGCTCAGCTGACTGAAGCCCTTTTTTTTTATCAGTGAAGGATGCTGGCACTAGCCCAACCTCGGAACATAAAACTACAATACAGACGTTTTTCTCTCCCTGCTGCCATCCCTATTCCAACCCCCACACAGAGATTAAGTTGATGATATATAGCTGGTTTCATGTATTACATAATATGGAGAAAGCCGGAGGCATTATGACGAGTAGCAGCAGCTTCACTCATGTGAGCGACAAGGACAATAAAGGGCTCCATTAAGGCTTTTATTCTTTTCCAATAGAAACCTATGGAGGAGGAGTGAAATAGAGCTGCAAGGAAGTCCTTTAATGACAGAATGATGCTGCGATAAGATGAACCACCAAGCATACAGATGAAAGGTTGATTTCCTGGTGCAATTGTTCAGTGTAATTAGATCTCTGAGGGTTTTTTCTTTTAAGGCAACTGGTCAGGTCGATCTCTTGTGATCTCTTATACACATACTTTATTTTCCTATAGTTTCCTGTATGATTCCTAGAAAGAAACCCACATTTAGCTGTTAATTCTTAGCACGATTCCTGGAAAGAAGCATATAGTAATTTGGTAGTAAAAATAGGGAAGATGTAAAAGGTGCAATAGATTGGTGCACCTCCAATTAATTAATCCAAATTGATTGCTATCATAAAGGAATTGTTGTGTTTTCGTTACCTTAAAATGAGCCTTCCATCCGTCCACCATGTTGAACCGCTTGACATCTCAACAATCTCAGTATCAACTATTAGAGTGCTACATAATTTCCTGCCTCTCTCGGAAAAACAAATAAATGAATAGTTGCTAAACAACTAAACTCTGTACTTTCTGAACAGTCTCTGAACATCGTGTCTGTTAGTCCTATGATTAGTACCAGAGCTGTAAACAGTGATTATTTTCATTATCAACTGATCTATCTACAAGTATTCTTGATGGATTGATAAATAAAAAATAAGTAATAAAATAGAAAATAGTGAAAAATACCCATCACAGTTTCCCCCAGAAAATACAAAGACTTTCAGTTTACTATCATAGAAGGTAAATTAAAGCGGCAGATCCTCACAATGTTGCTATTTATATATTTTACTGTCAATCAACTAATACATTCATTGACTAATTGTTTCAGCTATAATTTGCACCAAATCACAAAGTTCTTTCCAGGAAACTTCTCAGGAAATTACTAAGACACTGCTGAACCTGTAAAATAAGTTATAGGGGACTTATCAAATCGACTTCAAAATTGGACAGTCATATAGAAACAAAGTGTACATGAAGAATTGAGCTATTTGTGACTGTACGTCAAACTGCGTGCCACTGACCCCTTGTCGAATTCAGATGATTTTCCATTAAGCGGTACTCATAACTTCAGTGTGCAATGTCCAATTTCCAATAAACTTCATATATTCTGTAACAGTCTCGCCCTGAACACGTCCTCATAACATCAACCTACGTATTTCAGTCCCGCCATGAACTTGTCTACGTTACAAGAATCAGATACAGTGAAACCACAGCATACTGGCCACAGGAAGGAAGCGCTGCGTGGCGATTTGGAGCTGATTTGGAGACGATTTACGTGACGTATTCGCGTTGCGGTCCGCGCTTGTTACGACGGCACGTGACGTGGCCTTGGCGAAACCCCGACCGCACGTGACGCGTTTGCGGCGCGCCCCGACGAGCGCCGGGTGCGAGGTCCCGCCCAACGCTGCTTGCAGCTTTAATTCCAGCTTTTTATTGCTGCACAGAACATCTGATTGGAGGTTTTTCAGCACAAAGTAATTTTTGTTTCTTTGAGTTCTTTAAGAAGGCTCAGGGGAGGCTTCTTGGAAGGAGCACTTTTTTGTAGGAGTTATTTTGAGGGATGTCAATTTTGTGGCATGCAAAAGGAGAAATAGAATTTCCTGGGATATACTCAAACCCAGAAAGATGCCCGGTATACAGCTCAGCTGACTGAAGCACTTTTTTTATCAGTGAAGGATGCTGGCACTAGCCCAACCTCGGAACATAAAACTACAACACAGACGTTTTTCTCTCCCTGCTGCCATCCCTATTCCAACCCCCACACAGAGATTAAGTTGATGATATATAGCTGGTTTCATGTATTACATAATATGGAGAAAGCCGGAGGCATTATGACGAGTAGCAGCAGCTTCACTCATGTGAGCGACAAGGACAATAAAGGGCTCCATTAAGGCTTTTATTCTTTTCCAATAGAAACCTATGGAGGAGGAGTGAAATAGAGCTGCAAGGAAGTACTTTAATGACAGAATGATGCTGCGATAAGATGAACCCCCAAGCATACAGATGAAAGGTTGATTTCCTGGTGCAATTGTTCAGTGTAATTAGATCTCTGAGGGTTTTTTCTTTTAAGGCAACTGGTCAGGTCGATCTCTTGTGATCTCTTACACACATACTTTATTTTCCTATAGTTTCCTGTATGATTCCTAGAAAGAAACCCACATTTAGCTGTTAATTCTTAGCACGATTCCTGGAAAGAAGCATATAGTAATTTGGTAGTAAAAATAGGGAAGATGTAAAAGGTGCAATAGATTGGTGCACCTCCAATTAATTAATCCAAATTAATTGCTATCATAAAGGAATTGTTGTGTTTTTGTTACCTTAAAATGATCCTTCCATCCGTCCACCATGTTGAACCGCTTGTAATCTCAACAATCTCAGTATCAACTATTAGAGTGCTACATAATTTCCTGCCTCTCTCGGAAAAACAAATAAATGAATAGTTGCTAAACAACTAAACTCTGTACTTTCTGAACAGTCTCTGAACATCGTGTCTGTTAGTCCTATGATTAGTACCAGAGCTGTAAACAGCGATTATTTTCATTATCAACTGATCTATCTACAAGTATTTTCTTGATGGATTGATAAATAAAAAATAAGTAATAAAATAGAAAATAGTGAAAAATACCCATCACAGTTTCCCCCAGAAAATACAAAGACTTTCAGTTTACTATCATAGAAGGTAAATTAAAGCGGCAGATCCTCACAATGTTGCTATTTATATATTTTACTGTCAATCAACTAATACATTCATTGACTAATTGTTTCAGCTATAATTTGCACCAAATCACAAAGTTCTTTCCAGGAAACTTCTCAGGAAATTACTAAGACACTGCTGAACCTGTAAAATAAGTTGCAGCTCTTAAAGTTACTGCCTTTTCATAATGAAATCTACTTTAAAGAGTGATGTAAACTATGAAAACAGTATAACATAATGACTCAGTAAGAGTGAGAAAGCAGTCAGTGTGAGGCAGAGGCAGAGAGGAGACCATTTGTTCTGACACTGCCTCAGAGGATTACCACTAATCTGTGTTTGGGCCACAGTTTACCTGCAATACATTCTCCCATTGGTTCTGGTCTAATCTAGATGTCCACCATCCAGCAACCAGCCATATCATTGGCTCTATGTAGACCACTGTGACAGCATGTGTGTGTGTGTGTGTGTGTGTGTGTGTGTGTGTGTGTGTGTGTGTGTGTGTGTGTGTTTAAAATTCATCACCTCAAAGCAGTCTCTTCTTTCTAAGAAGCAAACACTGTTAGGAAGGGAAAGTGCCTGCTTGTGCTGGTTCAAGACTCTCAGGGCTGTTATTGCTGCAGCATTAGAGCAGGATTAGATGAGTGTGTGGGAATCAGAACTGATGTGACGCACATGAGGAGACCAAACAGAGCAGCGTGTTATTAGAATCATTGCAGTGTCTTATAGGAAGCATGTAACATTTATTCACATTTGTACAGTAGAAATCAACCACTGAGAGAACAGATTTAAACATGAAAACTAATTTTTAACAAATTGAACCAAGCACAACCAAAAGAAAAGTGAGAGACAAATACAGAACATCCTGGTCATTAAGCTGTAGTCATCAAGGGATTGTTTGAAACATAATCTTAAGAAATTGTTTTTCCTGGAAAGAGCAATACATTCATTTGAAATTCGACAATAGAAATATTACAATATTAATTGTTCTGACAATTTACAGAGAAGATGTTCCCAAGGGACAATAACAAAACCAATAATTTGACATTTTAAGTAAGTAAGGCGTTCTGAATGTAAATGTTTTATACGTAATGTGTACCCTTTTTGTATTGATGAAAACTGTGAAGTCTACTTGAGTGAATAGGTCATCTCTGTGTGTGTGTGTGTGTGTGTGTGTGTGTGTGTGTGTGTGTGTGTGTGTGTGTGTGTGTGTGTGTGTGTGTGTGTGTGCACTCATTGTTATATGTTACTATGTTGTTTGTATACCAGTGAATGTGTACAGTTTATAACAAAGAAGCAATGACTCACTACCCCACAGCAGCTGGCACCAACTAGACGTGTGTGTGTGTGTGTGTGTGTGTGTGTGTGTGTGTGTGTGTGTGTGTGTGTGTGTGTGTGTGTTTGTGTATGATTCAATTGCTGAAAGTTGATTCTGTAAAATAATTTAGTTTGAGCTGATTAGTTTTTTTTATTTTTAAAATTAAATCAATCAACTTAATGTGACTGGGGCTCAGCTGTGATACTCAATCCGTGTGTGACCTCCCCTGACCCAGATTATTGATTATTGATTGAGAAACTCTTAAAGGGTAAAAAAGGAACAGACAGAATTGTCTGTTTTTGAGCAATGTACTGAATTAAATATTTGACAAATCAAGGTATATAGCTATATAAATGATAGATAGATAGATAGATAGATAGATAGATAGATAGATAGATAGATAGATAGATAGATAGATAGATAGAACTGAAAGTGCCTCAGACTCACACTGAATGCTGAGTGCACTTATAAGTTTGTACTTGTAGAAGGTATCTTGTCACAGACTGTCTTCTCTCTTCCTGTTGCAAAATATTGTCCTGGTTTGCTCCCATTCATATATATTTTTTTAATTCAGCCCTCTTCTCTGTAGCTCTATTGTGTGCGGGGGATGTGTTGGTGCTTTTGGCAGTCATTTGAGTGTTTTCACTCCCCACCTCACCGTGGGGGGGACTCTCAACCTCTCAGCCAGATTAGGTAAATGATGAATGAACAGAGAGCCTGGGTTATAGTTGACAGGGAAGACTTTTCAATATTGTAGCAGGGTACATGGCGGTAGGATACTGCGGCTTCTTCTCTCATTTAAAGGATCCTTGTAGTGGCAGTTTGAGTGGAGGATGAGGAGGAATGAAGTGAGAGGAAGACCTGCAGTTAACGCCATCTGTCTTCTGTAAAAGGCGTCCAAGTGGGAGAGAGGGACAGCCTCATACACAGTGGCAGGCAGGTAGACCAACAGATGGACAGACACACATAAAGGCCACGAGAGAGAGGAGGGTGTCCTTTGTTGCATTATAACAGCAAATATTGAAACAATACTCAGAGCTGTGACTCCCTATTGCTGCAGGTGTGGAGGAGAAACAAACATTATGTCTTTTCAGGCCTTTTCTGACAATCACATGGTAGCAGTGTGTATACAGTGCATGTGTTGGAGAGCAGGTAACAGCAACAGATGAGTTACAGCTCATTTAAAACAATAGTTCAACATTTTGTGAAATATTCTTATTAACTTTTGGAGAGTTTGATGAGAAGATCGAAACCGCTCTCATTGACCATTAGATATAAAGGTACAGCCACTTAGCTTAGCATAGCATTAAGACTGGAAACAGGGAGAAACAGCTAGCCAAGCTAGTGGTAACAAAATCCACCTACCATTCCCTAAAGCTCACTAATTAATGTCTAATATCTTATTTGTTTAACCCATTTGTTTAAAAGTGTAAAAACAACAAATTGTAGTTTTACAGGTTTACGTGCTGGACTATTTCTTGGCTGCAACAGTTGCCTGGCAACTAGCAAAGACATCCTGGTCCCTGTGAAACCACAAACTGTTGTTTTTACACTTCAGTATTTGTACACATTAAATATAGTGTGTTAATTAGTGAGCTATAGAAGTCGCTGGTTGCTGGATTTTGTTATCTTTAGACAGAGCCAGGCTAGCTATTACTCTGTTTAGTCTTTATGCTAAGCTAAGCTAACCGGCTACTGGCCCCAGCTTCATATTTAGCGCACAGACATGAGATCTTCTCATCTAACTCATATTTGCCAAAATGTTGCTCTATTCCCTTAAAGCCCAAATGTATCTCCCGAATGTCCAATCATAACTAATGAAATTAGCATATAGCACAGGAACACAGTGGCAGTTAAACACGATCCTCATGTTGAACATCTAATTGCTTAAATTGGCTTGTTCTGGTTCAGGTCACAGTTTTGAGCGAAAGCAGCTCTAATAAACTCTCAGCTCATGACTCATGTATTCAGTCTGCCTCAGGCTTTGCTTCGGGTTCAAACAGAGGCCTCATCTATTTCTTATTTATGTCCTTCAGTTCATAACTGTTACTGGAGATTGTCTCCTGCTAAACTTTTTCAGTCTTTTTCATTGCTGAAAACATTTTGCAATTCCTCATCCAAATGCTTTAATTGCGACACTGTGACCAAGCTGTATATGCCAACTTTTTCCAACTTAAAGCAAGACAAGGTAATAAATTCCTCTTATACAATGTACAATTGAAAACAACAGTATGTGTGTCTAACAACCCCTTGTTAATGTTGCCATAAACACACACACACACATCATGCATCACAGAACGATAGCTGTCCAGTCAGCTGGTTGAAGGGCACACAGTGCCAGTGGTGAGTTGACGCTGATGTTGCATAAGCAGCTGAACACCCCTAAAGAAAACAGTGTTTGATGCATAAAAACCCCCATAAAAACACGCTGGCAGGCAGTCATCTGTACACACATGCTCTCATGCAAACACACACATTTCAGTCAAAAACAGATGTTAAACACTTTAATTTGCATGGACACATACAGACAACTAAGTGAGTAGATGGACAGAAATTGTAATACTTTAATTTTATTTTTTGCCAAAGTAATAGACATTTAAAAAAAAAAAAGAGAACATTATAAATGCTACAGTACTGGCTCTTATTTTAATTGTCTTCAATTTAGAAGGACTGACCACAGTAGCTAGGCTTTGTAGTTTTCTCCTTGTTAGTGTTTCACAGCTGTTAAATTGTTCTGCCGTAATGTTTGGTGATTTCTTCATGCTGCTGCTGCTGAGGACGTGTCCATTCTCTTTTTAATGACAATCATTAAAACATCAGTTAAAGCTGGTGAACAGTTTTTTTTAACTCCCACAGTCAATGTCAAGTGTTTAGAAAATGTCAGATTTGATTTGATCATCACTTGTTATATGTGGTGTACTCACTGTGCTGTGTATGTAGGTACAATTAATTTAATTATCTGCTCAGTGTGGTATCAATAGTTATACAAAATATTTTAGATTATCTGTATGACTGTAACCATAATATAGTCTAAATATCATTTTTCATGTACAACTTACTATTTATTTTTTCCATTTCAAACTATAATAACTATATCACTTATAAACCATTTCCCTACTGTGTTAGATGTACTCACAAAGATGATTCCTGTAGAAAAAGCACTGCAGCAAAACAAATGGACATTTTGCCTGGTGGGACCACAGCTGTTGTGTGAGGATTAGTTGTTATTCAGCATTGCACTGCACACACACACATTTACACTTGCACACAGTAGTTTGCACAGATTTACAGTTTTCCCAGTCTTCCCAAAGCCCAGAATGTCGATTTATTATGACTGACCCATGTTTTTTGGTCTTTTTGTCATTTGATGATTTATATTGTTAATTACTTTGTGTTTCATTGTCTAATTTCTTAAATAGGTTTATTTGTCTTTGCAGTATCTAAACTCTATATGGAATTTTAGTGATTGAAGTCTATATATATATATCTATTTTTATTTCAGTCCCTTTGCATTGTTGTTAGTTTTACTGACCATCTTCTTGCTGTCTCTGTTGTGTTACAGGGATTTCCTTCCCCGTGGCTCTGGCATTGTGACTCGTCGTCCTTTGGTTCTGCAGCTGATGAACTCTCCCACAGGTAAAAACATCCACCTGTAAACATCTATGGGAGCTGTTGTCCTCCAGGTTGTGGGATATCCTGAGTTTGCTGTTTAAATTTTCACTTGAGAAGCTTTTCATCCTGGAAAAGTTGTAAAAATGTATTTTAAGAGAGAAGTTGTCGGTTTCTTCTATTCTCTAAAATCCTCTAGATGTTTGGTTGAAGCCAACATTTAATGGGCATTACATGAATGGAGTTGTGTGGAAGAGGAACATTTCCCCCTTCCTCCCTTTCCTCTCTATTCATCTCTAAAGACTTTGAGATGATGATGACAACATCATATTACCATGGTTTCATTTCATTAGGTTGTTGCAGGGTCTGCTAGCGAGCTTTCGTTCTCACAGCTTATTCACGGTGTTAACTAGAAATTAATTAAACCTCATTTCATTTTAATACACAGTCATGGCTGCTAGATTACCTAATGGCAGTGGTTTTCAAACTGTGAGGAGGCTCACAGAGGCAGTTAAGGTGCTCCATTAGTGTGCAATTGCTGCAATTTGCATCTCATTATCTCCAGTAAAACGTCCATAAATCTTCTTAGAAATCATAGAAAAAAGATTTTCCTTATTACTCTAGAACTTGCCTGTGAGTGATCATTTTGAGCTTCCTTCAGTAAGAAAGTAATCCAGTGATAGATGTCTATGGGTACATTGGAAACAGAAATGGCTAATTGCTCATTTGGTATACTTTTAACCCCAATTAACCAAAATTTAAAGGTTAAAAAGGGCCCACTGCTAACTGCTTGACTCCATGGCAACATTATATTTCCTGTTTATAACCCCCAAATCTCCAAATTATGGGAATTGTAGCTCTGAATCTTAGATATGAATACCTTTTTCATGTTGCACTATTAATATTTGTTTATATTACTAATGCTCAGAATGTCAGCCTTACAGACAAAAAAAGAAAAGTGACCTTCTTCTTTCATAACTTTGTTTTGTATGGAATTCTTCATTGGCTTTAAATATCTTAGCTTAACAGGGAATCTATTGGTTTGCTGTAACACAGTTGTAGTGTGTATTTACCTAATTTTGTGAGTGAAAAAGTTTGAAATTGATCTCTATTCAGCATTTTCTTCTTTATTTTCTTCTCTCTACTGTCTTCTTTCCTGCTTCTTCTGATCTCCTTCCTTTCCTCTACAATTTCACTTTGATTAATCTGTCTGTTTTTACTGTCTCTTCCAGAACATGCTGAGTTCCTCCACTGTAAGGGCAAAAGGTTCACAGATTTTGATGAGGTCCGGCAGGAGATTGAGGCTGAGACTGACCGCATCACTGGGGCCAACAAGGGCATCTCCCCTGTGCCCATCAACCTGCGGGTGTACTCCCCTCATGGTGAGTCTGCAAAGCTGTATTTCTGCACATATATTAGTGTGGGTTCCCTTGCATGCTCTTGTACAGCTGTCTGACTAGCAGTATAGAGTTAAAGTTATGCATGTCTGGTATCAATAAATCATGTATCACCTTTTCTTGTGGCAACTGTGCATCTGAAGACGCTCTCTTACTTCACTTAGCTTTCTCTTTGTTCTCCTGTTCCCTTTTCGTCTTGCAGTGCTGAACCTGACCCTGGTGGATCTGCCAGGGATGACCAAGGTGCCGGTGGGCGACCAACCTGCTGACATCGAGGCCCAGATCAGAGAAATGCTGATGCAGTTTGTCACCAAGGAGAACTGCCTGATGCTGGCCGTCTCCCCGGCCAACTCTGATCTGGCCAACTCTGACGCTTTAAAGATTGCCAAAGAGGTCGACCCTCAGGGTGAGTGAATGCATTCTCTCTCTCTCTCTCTCTCTCTCTCTCTCTCTCTCTCTCTCTCTCTCTCTCTCTCACACACACACACACAGACACACACACACACACACACACACACACACACACACACACACACACACACACACACACTTGAGCATTTCCATTTTACTGTATATTACTTAGTACTACTCCAATGGGAAATATTGTATTGTATTGTATGTATAAGATATGATGCCTTGTTTGAGATTAAACTGTCTTTTAAGGTTTTATTCATTACTTTTAAATCACTCCATAGTCTGGCTCCAGCTTAGATGATACATTTACAAAACTAACTAAATTAAATAAAAAATATACCTTAAATGTCTTTAGTTTTAGTCTGTCAATTTGGTCAAATTGGTGCATATGACTGTGAGTCAATGTGTTTGTATTGTAATACCTTGAAAACTAAACTGAAACGCACAAACCCACTCTGGAAACTAACACTAATGAAAAATATAAAACTATAATAACTCTGGTGTGTACATGTAGGTATGAGGACCATTGGTGTGATCACCAAGCTGGACCTGATGGACGAGGGGACAGATGCTAAGGACATCCTGGAGAATAAGCTGCTTCCACTCAGGAGGGGTGAGCACTATTAAATACCTACACACTCTCACAAACAGTACTGGTTTGCTCTACTTCAGGGCCCTTTGCGTTGACACACTGTTTCCCTCTTGTGGTAATAAGGCAGTTGTACGCAAAGATGTTCAATGCTCCCAGCACTGAAAAAAACAAAAACAGAAAAAGGGGACAGAGGGAGTTGGAAAGGAGAAGCAGGGAAGGGGCAAAGAGAAAAACACTGTCTTGGAAAAGTGCTTGCATGTATCTTGTGAGCTGCCCTTTATTGCAATGTGCTGATGTGGTGATTTTCTTTTTCCATTTGCACTTGGTTAGAACCCAGGCATGTGCTTTTGAATATTTTCCATGTCCTTTGTTTTTTCTATGTTTTTCCCTCCCCTTCTTTTTCTCCCACGTCTCTCTCACTCTCTCTCTCTTTCTCTCTCTCTCTCTCTCTCTCTGTCTCTCTCTCTGTCTAAAGATGTGGATGTTCACATTTACAAGGCTGCTGGCTCACAGTTGCATTAGTTATAGAGCATGAAACAGCCTTAAACCGAGTGATGCATGAGAAAACTTAACTGGAGGTGAAATGGGATCCGCGTGACCTGAACTCTCCTGGTTTTTCTTTTTCTCTTTACGTCTTAGAAACTTGGACACACACATACAGACAATTATTCTTGTAATTCCTTCCTTCCTTTCTCTCCCCTATTCGTCCTTTGTCTATAGACTTTTCTTTAACCCCGACGTCTGAGCTAAACATGATTAAACACAATTTAAAGTGGTTTGGTCTTGCAGGGGCTGTTCATCTTTGGGTTGGCTGTTCAAACACAGTTCATATGTAGAAAATAAGAGCCCAACACGATCCCAGGTTGCTCTAATGCAAGACTATACTATATTCCAGTCAAATCAGTCAAGTCAGGCCAGAAGTATTGAGTCTGTTCCACTCTGATCTCAAAAATTCCAGGAAGAAATAAAACGAGTTGGATCTGGTTTTCTGAAAATCTCACAGCGTTTTGAGACTGTGTCGCGAATATCTGAGGGACTCTTGTCTGATGTGTCCAGGTTACATCGGTGTGGTGAACAGGAGCCAGAAGGACATAGATGGCAGGAAGGACATCAACGCTGCAATGGCCGCTGAGAGGAAGTTCTTCCTCTCCCACCCTGCATATAGACACCTGGCCGACCGTATGGGCACTCCTTACCTCCAGAAAATCCTCAATCAGGTTTGTAAATGAGCAAGTGTGAACGTGTCCTATATTTTCCAGCGACACCAGGTTTAATTCCAACTTTCCCGGTATTCCCAATGCTCTAACTCTGATCTTTGACCTGCACAGCAACTGACCAACCACATCCGGGACACCCTGCCGGCTCTGCGGGCCAAGCTGCAGAGTCAGCTTCTCTCCATAGAGAAGGAGGTGGAGGAGTACAAGAACTTCAGACCTGACGATCCATCTCGCAAGACCAAGGCTCTGCTCCAGTGAGTACAGGATACAGGATGATACAGGAACAGGAAAGACAACTAGATAGATACAGACTAATAGATTCATTGATATCTGCCTCTGCCTCTCTGCAGGATGGTGCAGCAGTTCTCCGTGGACTTTGAGAAGTGTATAGAGGGCTCTGGGGACCAGATTGACACAGCTGAGCTATCAGGTGGTGCCAGGATCAATCGCATCTTCCATGAGCGCTTCCCCTTTGAACTGGTCAAGGTGTGTGACAGATGTTCATTTGTATGTGATTGTTTTATTTTTATAAATTATTGGGGTGACTCTTATCATGTCTATTAAGATTTTATATGGACCCTCCCCTTGACTTACAAGAGAACCCTGCAACACCCTCCTCTTAATATCTCAAAATATAGCACTAAACTAGAATTTAAGATATTGTAATCTGATCTAAACCTCAGTTAGAAGTGGAATTATCAATGTGCACATTGATGGCAAACATAATTATTTTACAATAAAGAAGCACTAACAAAAAAGGCTAAACTATTATAATAGTTATAATAAAGTTTTTTTTTATATGTCATATTTAACTTCTTTTTAACTTTGTTTTATGATGCAGACTAAACGGAAGGAGGAAATGACTGTTGGTAGAGATACATTTGAAATAAAATAATATAATAATAATAACAAATTTAGTAATTACTGCTGGGTAGGTTAGTCTTAATTTTCGTCTTCCTTCCTGCTTTCTTTCTTTTAATGATATATACCATAAATGGAGGAAAAAGATAGTGATATAAAATGTACAGCACATGGAGTGAAACACTTTGTTACTGAAAACCCCAGAAGGTAATGGTCAGGATTGTTCATGTTTTACCTAAACCATACCAGTTTGTCGCAGTTATTTGCAATTAAAAACATCTGATTTTGCAGACCTTGGCACACCCAGCAACCCCTAAACATATCTGTTCAACAGCTGTAAATATTTATACACATGAGATTCGGACCCCAAATTTTTTGGAACATTTATCAGACTACAAAAAATACTCCTACATAAAAGCATTTTACTTTATGGTTTTATAGCAAACAACTCTCTGTATCTCTTTAAATCTTTACGTCTCTCTTCTGGGTATCGTTTCCCAGCCTCAGAAGGAGAGAAGGCCTCCCTCAGGACTTTGAGTCTGGGCTTTTCTGACCCAAACATTCCTTGTTTCCTCCCTCTTCAGCAACCTCTCCCATCGCCGTCCTATTTTTTCTTACTTCCCCCACCTCACCTTCTTCCTTCTGTTTCTCTCACTCCATCATCATATCCATCCACATTTCATCCCTCGCCCACATCCTCTGTTCACCTTTCACATCATCTTTACCCCAACCCTGTCCTCCCTTCATCCACCTCCCCCATCCTCTGTCTCTCTAAGCCTTTTACCTCACCCCCTCCCATATGTTCGTTCCCTTTCCACTTAGCCCTTACCCTTCCATTACCATTCTCTCCCTCATTTCATCCATCCCTCTCCTCTGTCCTCTCTTGACCTCCCTCTGAGGATATAAAACTTACTGTCTGTGACTGAGAAGAATGCTGGTTTCCTACTGAGAGGACCGAGCAGGTTGCTTCCTAACCAGAAGCTTGACTTACGGCAGAGACATTTTTATAAAAGTTTATATTACATGCTTCAAATCAAATATGAAACTTTGCTGAGGAAAGTGGGAAATGATGAGGCACTGTAGTAAATAAAAGTGATGTACTTTAAACAGATTATATAGTATTATAGTAGATCAGCTTATATAACCCACTTTCCGTGTTAGGCAGAATGTATGAGTCAAATCTGTGGGGGAAAAGTGTGATTAATGTTTGCAAAATGGAAACAGCAAAAATCTTTTTAGAAATAATGAACTGGTTCTATCTCCCAGCATTTTTAGCTTGTGACACCTTAAAAAAAAGAAACTGTAAATATGACTTTATGTAGCATAAACATTTTCATTCTGTCATATAATTTTAACATTTTGGGAAAAAGGCTTATTAGCATTCTTGTCAGAAGGTTGGTAGGTGGACTGTTCCTTTAATAGTCTCACAATCCTTCAGATGATGTGATTCCTAACTTGGCAACCCCCGGGTTAAGCACTGGTCTAATCAATAAGTAATGTATGTGAACAGCAAACTTGTTCAAAATGTGGATCATACTGACATTAACAACTGGACAGAGGACATGTATGTTAAGATGCGTGTTACTATCAACCTTAAATTACAGAAATTGACATGTCAAGAAAGGCATTTTATTAGCTAATATGGTGTTTGGAAATCTGTAGAGAAAATAAACAATGTGAGAGAAAAGTGTAACTGATTCTGTGAATCTGTGAGTGTGTATACTGAATCCTCCCTATTGTATCTGTTCCTTTTGTAGATGGAGTTTGACGAGAAAGAGCTCCGCAAAGAGATCAGCTACGCCATCAAGAACATTCACGGAATCAGGCACGTCCGCCCTCCAGCTCACCCATCCGTCCTTGTTCCCCATTCCTCTTTATTTCACCTCTCTCTCTCTCTCTCTCTCTCTCTCTCTCTCTCTCTCTCTCTCTCTCTCTCTCTCTCTCCATCTCAGTCACCTCTGCTTGCCAGACTGCATTTAACTGACTTTGCTTATCTAATCGCCAAGACCTCTATTGAGCACTCTGTTGAATACTAATGGCGTCAGTACACTGAGACATAGAAGGCTGGGATCAGATATGGTATGACTGGTTGTACGATACTTGTTTTTGTGACCTCTCCATATGTTTTGTTAGTTTTTCCATCATGCTGGCGTGTGACCTGCACCTTTCATCTGGGATACCTGGTAGCACAGTCCAGAGGACTCTCGTTGTTGGCAAATGGATGATTTGTAATTGTGCTGTATCATCTAATAAGGCAGAAAACACCAGAAAAAGCATCTAAATGTGTATTTGGTGCCAAAATCTGTTTAAAATCAGATAATAAGTAGATATAGAAGCAGAAGATATGGGATTTATGTGGCGCTTGTGGGTAAAAAGTATGCGTGGAATGTACAAAGACATGGTTTTTAACTTATTTCCCTAATGGAGAGAATATTGTAGGTTTCTTTGCTGCTGATTTATACTTTAATTGGCTTATTTCAGCATCAGAGCTAATTGCTAAAATACCAGCTAGATGATTGGCAGGATGTTACTAATGTTGGTAGTAGCTAAAGAGTAATGTTGTCAGTGGGGTGGTTGATAATTGGGTGTTACCAGTGGTAGCAGTGGGTCATATCCAGAGTTTTTCTAACCCTTAATTCCGTTGCTTTAGGGAAAATGACTCAATATTTGCTGTGGAAATTTCCAACTTAAGTGCAGATGATTTAAAACTACTTGATATTACTTAATATTTCCTAGAACATGCTGCTTTGTAAGTGGTTTTTTTTTTGGTTTAGCTTCATGCTCTTTCCCTCTCTCTGTCTAATTTGTGTCTGTTTATGTTTGGGGAAAAGTTCAGAAATGGAGGGTAATTCTTTACAATTAACACTCTTCTCTTTACCCAACCCTCCTCCCTCCTTCTGTCTTTTTCTCCTCCATCCTTCTCTTTTTTTGGCCCTGTGGCTGGTTCTCTCTCTGTCGGGCAGAACTGGCCTCTTCACCCCGGACATGGCCTTTGAGACCATTGTGAAAAGGCAGATTGGGAAGATTAAAGAGCCTTGCACCAAATGTGTGGACATGGTCATTTCTGAGCTAGTCAATACGGTTAGGCAGTGTACCAAGAAGGTAAAAAAAATAAAAGTAAACGCTGGTTAGCACTTTTTCTGATTTTCAACCCTCATCTGCAGTCCCTCTGCTGTTCACTCCCTTTTACTGTAACCGCCTGGCTCTCTCCAGCCCTCGTTGTTTCTCTGGACAACGAGGGGGAACCTGGAGTGGCAGGGTGGCCTGCAGTATACCTGCCTGCCTACTGTACCGTTTCGGACGGGTTTGGCTGGACAGGCTGGCCGTGGTAGAAAGCTGTGCTGAAGAAAACCAGTGTGGTGGCTGAGCAGTCATCCAAATATGGTTGCCTGTAAAAGATTAAATGTTAGAGCAGTCTCAGCTCAGAACTTTGAGTTTAGTTCTTCATTTATTCTCTCTTGGAATAATTTTAAATAATTTTGCGCTACATCCCAATTCCACATTATATACTAACAATCTGTACAATACACTAACTAACTAAGTGCAGTTAGTAAAAACAAAGTCAGTGTGTACTACTACTACAGTATTTTTGAATGCTATTACCATTTAAATGTAAGTAATAGCTAAACATTTTTCCTGAATGACACTCTTTTTATTATTTTTTTTAACGTTTTTTTTTTGCCGTTTATTGCATCTATTTGATAGTTACAGCTGAAGATAGACAGGAAAGGGGGTAGAGGGAGAGGGGAAGACACGCAACAAAGGGCCGCAGGTTGGATTTGAAACCTGGGCCGCTGCAGCAAGGACTCAGCCTTGGTACATGGGGCGCCAGCTCTACCCACTGAGCTACCCACTGAGCTAACCGGGCACCCCCTGAATGATACTCTTTATCTAGCGCAGACAAGTTATTATCTAGTTTGCACAAGATATTATCATGTTATTGTCTTGTTATTACATGTATCTTGTTCACACAAGATATTGTTTTGTTCACACAAGTTATTATCTTGTCCATACAAGTTATTAGTAGAGTTAGTATTTAATGTGGAACTGGGACACAATTTAGGTTTTTTTTTAATCTCATGTCCCTATTTAGGCAGTCTCTGAGTCAACCTTTGTTCTAAATTGTCACCACTTTTGATGTATTTGGAAATTTGTCCATTTACTCAAGTAGTTTTAAAGTTTTAGTTCTCTTTCAGGAACCGTGAGTAAGATCCCCTTTGTTTGCATATAAGGCATACACATGTTGAGAGAATCATTTGTCAGTCATTCAGAATACCTGGCAGCCATATTGGATGACCTCAGCGTCCAGACTTCCTTGTGTGTGAGACTAAAGCTGTGCACCTGCAGCAGACAGGAGCCATGCCGATTATGTTTAAACTGCTCTTCAACAGGCCTCAGGGTCCACACTCTCAGCTACAGCGGAGTGTGAGTGTGGCCAAAGGAAAGAGCAGTAGTCTGTATCCAAACTGATCCACTGTGACCAAACAATTTGAACAGCGGTTGGACTGCAACAACCTGGAGGCCTTGGGATAATAAATGTTATGATTACGCTCCCTCTGGAAGTCAGAGGAGAAGGAGGGATGGGTGGAGAAAGGGTCAACACCAGAAGGGTTCAAGTCATGTTGGCTAAACGACGGGGTGCACAGCTGTGGTCTCGCAGTGCGTTGCTTGGAGTTTTTTTGGCCAGTGGAGTTGTGCAGACTGGGATCTCTCTCTATTTCTTTCTCTTTCTCTTGTCTTTTCTCACTCTTTGCTCTTTATTGATAGAGGGAGACTCCAGCACTGTTCTGTTTAAGTATGGCTTCAGGGGAAACCAAATGTCTCACTTGCATTTTCTTCCTTCTGTGCTGTTTATCCCCACCTACTTCCTCACATCTCCTTGTCTTTTTTTTTAAATCTTAAATATGTCGTTTCTTCTTCCCTTCCATTTCCAATTTTTACCTTCCTCATCTCTGTATTGTCCCTTTCCCTCACCATCCTTCAATCCTTTTGTTTTTATTTGTCTCCCACCTACAATTTCTCACTCTTCTCTGTCTGCCTGTCTTCATTTGGTGCTTTCACTTCTCCTCTTTCTCCACCTATTTTGTCTTCTTTTTTTTTTTTTTTTTTTACTCCTCTCTCCCGTGCCGCTTGCCTATCCCTACAGGACGGGGCTGTTCACCCTGACCTGGCCTTTGAGGCCATAGTGAAAAAGCAGATCCAAAAGCTGAAGGAGCCCACACTGAAGTGTATAGATATGGTTGTGAGCGAACTCACCTCCACCATACAAAAGTGTAGTCAAAAGGTAAAATACCAAAGAGAACCAAGCCACTTTCACTATCTCTGTTAATCGCACAGGTAGGGGTAGACCGATGGCTGGAATTTTCTTTCTAAAGTATTGAAAAATAACAAAAAACGGCCTGAACGGCTTCCTTATAGTATTCTTGGATTGTATTTTAAAAAGTGTTATTTATACTAAAGAGTGACAATATAGGTTTTTTATTTTAAAAATTGTCCTTACAATTGGGAAAATGATCAAGACTTCTCTTCCACATTAATGTGTATGTGCATGGTTTTGTTGATTTACACTTAAATTAGGAGCTATTTTTAACATCCAAATGTAAATCAGAGCAAAGCATCAGTAAGCTTCCTAATCCAGATAATTGATTGTTTGCATATAGAGCCAGATCTAATATAATGTTATGATCAGCAACACTTAAAAGATTGTGCAAATGCTACATTTTAAGATAATGTCTTGGTAAAGATTTCACCTAAAAAGTATAAACTTTACATAACTTTACTTAATTTACAAAATTGAACACATAATGTAATTTATTTTGTTTGTTTTGCAGAATGCTGATATGGTCACATTAATTGTTAGAAGGTATAATTACCATATTCGCCATCTTAGTTTAGTTTGTAAGTTTTGCAGGTATTTGGTCATAGTAGGTCAAGTATTAGACAAATCACAGTCTTGACAAATGTTCACCTCATGGTGACGCTAAAGGAAAAAATTATCACCAAAATCAATGTCCTCTGGGTCAAATGTCTGTACAATTAGTAGATTAGATATTTTATGTTTGGATGTAGTGGGGCAATTTACCGATCAAAATCCCTAGAGCTGCTAGTCTGGTTAGAAAGCATCACTGTGCCAATATTAAATGTATTGAGGTTAACAATAAATACCCAACCTTAACATTCATTGAAAAATATCATGATTAGAAACAACTATAGGTTATGTGTAAATACATAAAAGTACTCAAAAGTATGTTACTTCAGCCAGCAGATATCGGTCTATCCTTACTCCAGAGCTTACTAGTGTAACCATAACCTGCATTTTAATTAAACTTTCTTTGTCATTTGTCTTTTATTGACAATTTAACAAATTGTCGAGTCTCAACCTGCATGTTAAATTATTTTCTTTCATATTTGACCTCATGATGTCTAAAAATCCTTTGATTTAAGTTGGTTAACGTCTTTTTTTCTGTCTTTGTCAGTATGGTGACTGATTGTGTGGTTCCACTCACTGACTAATTGACGTACTTTGAGCATCTCTTAATTTTTCTTTTTATTTCTCTTTCGTCCTCTCCATCCTGTCGACCCTAACCCTTTGAACCGGCTGCTTCCTTGCAAAAGCAAATGACCAAAACGAGAGCGTGACCTCCTTTGGATTTCTCTTCTCTGTCACACTTTTATCTTGATTTCACTTTCAGAGACATACTGTATTTAAAGATACTGTATAATATTATACAGTGTTTGGGAAAATCCACAAAGGGGTCAGTTTGAAGTCCTCCTCCATCACCCTCTCTCCCATCCCTCCCACCCTGCTCCTTTGCATTGCATGTGAGTCTGAATCAATTTGAGTGCCTCTGCTTGCTGCCTTGTTAGTAAAAAAAATCACATGAGTAAATTTTCCTTCCACTGTCAGTTTTGTGTTTCTGTGTCTGATTTTAAGACACTTCATCAAATGTTGACAGCCTTCAAGTTACAATGCACCTTTCCAGTAGAACAAATAATGTTGCTTTCAGTTGCTTTGACATTGAATACATCCACAGTTTATTGCTTTTGTTTGTAAAAGTTTTATTTTTATGCATAAAGTGACCCTCATTTAATCAGTTAACAGTATTAATAATGGGACAATGATGACATGAGTAATTATAGTTGCCATCTATGCCTTACAGAGTTATTTAAAAACATGTTTCCTAAAATTTAAAGGAGTGATTCAACAATACTGTCAGCAGCTTAAACTGACCAGATGCTGTCATTGTATGCTCTTACAAAAAACTGATTTGGATTTGTTTTTACACAGTGTGCTTGAGCTTTTCTGATGTGATACATAAGGTCGAAACAAATGAATATTTGAATACTTAGACTATATTATTACAAGTTACAAATACCACAAACCACAAATTTAAACTTTAACGATTGAACCTTTGCTAAGCGTCTTATACTGTTTCTATGCCTATCAAGCTTACTATTTTTGCATGGCAGTATGTAGTTTATAATGATAACGGCTGCAGATTTGCTACCCAAAATCTATGGTAATTTTCAAAAACAATTATAGGTCTTCAATTTCTAGCGTACAACCGTAATTTTTGTCAGCTTCTATGACAACTGTTCTAGCTAACTAATTAAGCTAACACCATGAGTATGTTGATGTCTGACTCTTTTTAAATATGAAATTATTCTTGCATAGTAAAGCCAGTTAACCCTACTGTATTATAAATAAACCAAATAAACAGCAGGAGAGAGCCACTATTGTTACTCTAATGTGGCATAACTTTCCAATACACTCTAATGTTGTAGTGGATGTTCTCATCTTGAACGGGGATTTTTCTAACATAACCTGTAATCCAATAAAATAATGCCGTTACCCAATGACTGGCTCCTTGGCTTTGGAAGTAATGGTAGATTCTTATACTGAAGGTTGTAAGTTTCTTATAGTCGGATATGCAAACAACAAACACACACTTTTACCCTTGTGTTTTTGGTTTTGATTATTTTTTAATGTTCAGTATTTCCAGAAAAGAGCTATGAAACACTTTGACAATACTACTTGTAATGCTAGACTGACACTCATCTAAACAGTGTGTCCCATTATTCTAAAGCATCTATTCTTTATGGATGTTCTCTGCTGTGTAAGTGGACCATACCCAGGAAGCAGTAAATCAACTTGGGAACCAGAAAGAGGTCTATTGATGTCCACTCACTCACCAAACCATCTGAAAGATGCATTGTAACTTGCAAGAAAACAGCGTATATTTTTCTTTCTTGCGCTGTGATTTTGGTTTTGATTTTTCTTCTTTCCTCACACTTCTCCAAAATGTGTTTGTGTCACATTGGAGGCCCACCAATGTCTGCGTTCGTGGGTTTGCAATGAGCTCATGGAAAAAGACCCACAGTGTGCTGGGAAAAAGACGCTGTGCTGCCAGGAACATTGTTTATTCTGTGTTTGTGTGGTAATATCACAGACTTTTCACTATTCTTCTGCATACATTCCATATTGGCAACAAATGGACATTTTGCACATAAAATCCACTCAAATCCGCCCACGGGTCAGTGGTGTGTGCAGAGACTAGAGCAGAGTCTGGGATGAACTCCTCAAAACATAACCTGTTTAATTATGTTTCTGTAATGTATTTTGTCGTATTGGTGGAACTGTGTGTTGTGGTTCAGTGAGTAATGTAGTGTTTACTAAAGCTTGTATGTAGATTTGGGAGTGTGTGTGAGAGTGTATGCATTGGCGTGTGCGTTTACTTTTTTTTTTTGCTACCTACCGACTGTGTTTTGTGCTCACAGCTGGCTCAGTATCCCCTGTTAAGAGAGGAGATGGAGAGAATTGTCACCCAGCACATCAGGGACAGAGAAAACCGCACTAAGGGACAGGTAAAACCTACACATTGTTTTATTACTTTTTACATAGGTTTGCTCTCCACTGTAATTTGCACTATTTTTATGAATGTTATAATGTTTAATCATCTCAGTATCTTTTGATTGTTCAGAAAGTAAACCACCTGAGTACTTAGAGCACAGTTTTTCTACAAAATAATCCTACCAGACTAATTCAAAATATTAATGAAATCTGTGTCATGAAAATTTTACACATATGTGGCACTTTGTCTTAGGGGAAATTAATTTTAGTGGTTGTTGTTTTCTGCTACATTAGAATGTAAGGTATCTTTAAGTCTGCAAGATATGTAGGTTTTAATGTGGCCTAGTGCACACAATGAGGCCCTGTTAACATGACAGCAGTTTTTTGGGCCTGAAACAGTGACGACACGGCCTCACTTTGCGCACGACTATTACATTTTCAGCCAAATAGATAAATTTGAATGCTTTATAGTTCCAGAATCAACAGTAACAACCCCACTTAATCGCTGTGGAGGGAGCGTTTGTATGCAGGCCCCTTCTGTGGTATTGCAAAAGTTACACCGCCACCTACTGGCCTGGCATGCTACAACGTTTTCAACAATTTTTGCGGCTCGTTTTCACTGTGTTGGTTTGTACTTTTTTAAAATGCAGAGGAAAAATGTTTCAATTTTTAGCAAAACCGTTGTTGTGTAAATAGGACCTATGACAAACAACATTTTTTTTTGGAAACTATGAATGTTTTGGGATGGATCTTTAAATTATTATTGTAAATATATAGTTGATAACAGCTTGCTTACTCTCTGTGTAGGTGTTGCTGTTGATAGACATTGAGTTGTCCTACATGAACACCAACCACGAGGACTTCATTGGATTTGCCAAGTGAGATTTGGTTTATTTTCCTCCATTGTGTATATAGTATATAAATCTGCTCTCACTGCAGTGCTTCAGTTAATGCGCAGTTTAAGATAAAAAAACCAAAATATTTTGATGTCTTTTGTTGTGCAGCGCTCAGCAGAGGATCAACCAAATCAACAAGAAGAAGGCAGCTGGCAACCAGGTACTTTGATCACACTAAACATACCGTCACTCGGATTTGACAGGATATACTACGTTTTACACATTATAGTACAGAGTCATCTCTCTTTAAGCTACAGGAACATGATTCCAGACTGAACTCATCCAGTGCGTTTCATCTGCTGGCCAGCAACGTGACATCTGAACTTCATACTGTCTTTCCCCGAGGCTTGATTCTGTTAGCACTCAGCTTTCTGTTTTGCCCATGCTAAATGTAGCACAGCTATACAGTATCTTGTTACCCTGGGCAATAGTCCATATTCTTTCTTTCTCTAGCCCTGTACAGCTCTTGTACATGTTGCACACTAATGGACAACAGTTGTCAAATATTGAAACAACTTGTCCTTTTGGTGGGAGTCACGGTGATGTCAACACAATCTTAGGTCTGTTGCAAAATATCCAACCTCAGTTTTATTAAAGATGTACAGTAGGTTAGTCCCCACAGCTTATGGCTGTAAGAACAAGATAGCCATTATAATATTAATATCAAATATAAAAGCACTAGAATACCTCTGCCAAGTCATTTTAATAAGAGAACGATTTTAAATTTTAAATTCTCCTTCTGGATCTCAAAATGCATTATAAAACAATTATGCAATACGTGTACGTTTTCATTCATGTGCAGTAGGTTTGTGAAAAAAGCAAAAAATGGCCACAATGTTAATAAATCCACAATGCTAACTTTGATGGATCTGGTTTTAAAACAGTATCTCACGGCCTCCTTTTTCATTACTTTACACAAAACTTCCCTTAAACTTGACACATTTATTGCATGTGCTGAATAACAGAGAGACAAAGAAGACCTACAGCAACTGTCCGCTGTATACGTTACAATATCAGATCAACTCGACTACATGGACAACACAATGAAGATAGAATAAACACAGATTTTGCATGATTTACATTCTGCTTTTTCCCCCTGAAAGCATGCAGATCCTCTTCTATTTTCCCACATTTTAAATTTACTCTTTAATATTCTCTTAAATTCTTGGTTTTTGGTATCTGTCGTTTTGTTTTCCTCTTCTTTCCTCTGAGTGATTTCTCTTTCTGCTGTGTCTCTTTTCTCTTTCTGCTGTGTGGTCTTCCTCTCTGTGGCTTTTCTGCTTCAGGATGAGATCATGGTGAGTAGTGTGTGTGTGTGTGTGTCTGAGTGTTATTCTGTGCATGTCTGCAGGTAGGCTTTTGTGCGTCTGTGCTCATGTTTTTACGCTCTGCATATGTCAGGATACGTGTATCTAAATATGTTTAAACTTGTACATGTGCTTGATTGTCGTTCATGGTGGATTCATGAGTGTGTGTGCGAATGTGTGTGTGTGTGTACAAAATAAGCTTCATACTAACTAGCAGTAGATGGGCAGGTGGCTGTCGTGGGGAATGCTTGGCTGCTTCCCTTTCCTCTCTTTTTCAGTGGTGTCTTCCCTGCAGGCACACACACTTACACTCATACACACAGCTAAAGTACAGGACGGCCGAGAGATTATTTTAGATGTTATGTAAGGTTCTTATCACAGGCTTCTCTCAGGCTTGTTGAAAGACGCTCGTTATGACTCCAACACTGAGGCTGGTTTGCTTTGGCACTGAAGAGTCGCCCCCCCCCAGCAGTAGTTTTAACTACATAAAGAGAAACTCACTCATGTGGTCTTGCATCTCAAAGAAAAGGAGGAAAAGGTCACTAGACTTATTCCCTCTATCTCCCTCTCTTATTCCCTCCCTCTCCCTAATTCATCCAAAGTAGCAGAAGGCCAGGGGCAATGAAGACCTGCAGTATGCCAGACATATGTCACCTCCATAGTTGTCAGTTGTCATAATAACCACCCAGGTCGGGGTCAAAGGTTAGGGGCACAATGTAAATAAAGTGGTGAGCTTCACTTCCTGTTTACAGATGGATGTAGTTGGCCCAGCAGCTTCTGTTCTCCTGATTTAACCCCCTCCTGACCTCCATACTGAAAAAACTTAACCTGACCCATCAGTGGGTCCATGATGATAGGCAGCCCAGTTTCGTTCAAGCTACCACAGAACTTTATCTTGAATTCTAGTCCAGATCTGAAACTCACTAAAGATACCAAATGTGTCAGCTGAATGACAGGAGAATATGTAGTTTTATCTCAACCGAATTGAACGTCTAAGGACAGAGATTGTTGCTTGTTGTCCAGAGTGTAAAGCCGACAAATGGGTGATTTTGGGCTATGGATAAAAAGTGAAATGTTTTCTATTCAGTAAGAAGGTTTTTTTTATATAAATATAAATAAAATGGACTTGCAATGATGCAGCATGCATATTTTATTTAGTTATTTCAAGTCAAATCTTAAATGAAACATCAGATAAAGATTGTATTGATTGTATTGTATGTGTGAGTATGGACATAAGTGATAAGTGATAAGTGAGATATAGATAAAGAGGTACAGATAAAGAGAATAGCCTAATAACAGCAGCTGGAAATTAGAGAATGTTCTGGATTTTGTTTACCTTAGCTACTTGAAGATTGATCACTCCACCACTTCCATTCAAACACATACAGTATAAAACAGCAAGGCTTCTGCATTTCTCTGCATGGTCTCAAAAAAGGTTTGACATGGGCCACTCTTATTGTAGCTTCCTTACTCCCCTTGCCCCCACCCTGCTTGCTGTCCCTTTGCTGCCATCCCAGCAGCCAGCTGTAATGTGCTGGTACTTGACCAAACTTGTGTATTTGGCCTTTACTTAATGCCCTGCGTTGGCATAGCTTTGTAACATTCTCTCCACATTCTCATTCAGCCGGAGAGAGGAGTTAACGATCGGTTTAAGGTAAATAAAACAATGTACTGTATGTGTGTATAGTTTCTGTATGGTGGAGAGAATGAAATATAAAGAGAAGAAGAGGAAATAAGGAGTGTGAGGAATGTGTTTAGTCATGTAGGTGAGCGTCACCCTGCTGTTGTTTGTGGCAGTGGATTCTTATCTCCAATAGAAGCAGGGAAATTACATTGCATACGTGTTAGTGTAACTGACTAATGTGATGTTAATTTGGGGAAATGGTGATATTTTTTTCTTCTATAATATGTGATTTACAATCACTTTCCTTTCTGTCTCTCAGGTGATCAGGAAGGGCTGGTTGACCATCAACAACATCAGCATCATGAAGGGAGGAGCCAAGGAGTACTGGTTTGTCCTCACCGCCGAGTCCCTGTCCTGGTATAAAGATGATGAGGTGAGACGCTGACACACACACACACACACACACACACACACACACAGTCACACTTTTTTTTTAAACTCCTGTTGAAGCTGCAGGCCAGACAGCTGCCAGTCAAATCTTCAATGCATCAGTCAAACAGACTACTGGTACTTGTTGGTCTACTTTGTAATGTTGTACAAAGAACAAAGCAGCGTATAAAATGTGTAAAATAATGTGATAGCTTGTTGCAGGATGGGAATGCTTGGCTTAAAGATGGCCATCATCATAAAAAGCAAAAAAGGGAACTCTGCAAATTACAGGCAAAATTACTTAATTTACTTAAAAAATAAAAGTAAAACTATTATATTATTATAAATATCTTTAAAGACATTTTTGCTTTTGAGTATTTTTGGATTATAAAGGATTAGTGGGATGCAAAGCACAGCCAACAAATTTAGAATTTCTGAGGCTGACACCAATATATATAATTTAGTGTTTATAAAATCTGGTGTCACCATATCACGTTTTTTAATTTTCTTTATATGATATATCATTTAAAAACATTTTAGGTAAGGACAAAATTAATTTGTTTGGTTTGTGACCAAGGTATACAGTATTTAGTAAGCAGGACATTTAACAGTTGAAAAATAATTAGAATGCAAAGGGAACACAAATGTAGTGACCCTGTCTGTACATTTGTGTTGTGATTTATACTGGCCGACGTATTTTTCTGTGTTGAGCTACTATCAATAAAATCAAATCAAATCTGTGATTAGACAAAAAAAATTAATTTGAGAGACAACGAGCTACTGCACAACTGCACAACCTGAGACATCATCCCCTGCGCTTGAAACACCAAACAGCTTTACATCTGATTTAGCAACAGCATTTTTATAATATTTTCCAACAAATTACAGTACTAGGAGGATTATTTCAGTTGGATCTGAGTGTTTATTCTCCATAAGCTTCCACCAGAGAGAGTTTCTTTTCCGATTTCTGGTCCAAAATTCATTCCAGCTCATCCCACTGGCAAAATGACTGTTGGACCTTTGCATGCTGAGATGATTTGACCCGGCATGCTTTGTAACTGGACCAACTGGTCAAAGCGGTGTCCCATGATGGTTTGCAGAACTATTAGGAGCTAGCCACAGTCTCGCTGTCTCCAGGCCTTAGCCGCAGCCGCTCTGCTCGCTGACATAAGTGTGTGTGTGTGGGAGTGTGTGTGTGTGTGTGTGTGTAGCATTGAGAAGGCCCTTTACAAAGAATCAGGACCCCCCAGTATGTCAGACACCGAAGCTGGCACACACATGTGCATACCAGAGCCCCCTGCCCTGCCCTGTTCCCAATTACACACACACACACACACACACACACACACACACAAACACAAACGCACAAACGCACGCACGCACACACACACACACACACACACACACACACACACACACACACACACACGCACAAACGCACGCACGCACACACACACACACACACACACACACACACACACACAAGCTGCTTCTAATAAAGCGTACATCGTTTCAAAGAAGGGGCACAAAGCAAGAGAGGGACTGGACTGTAGGGGAGGAGAAGGGAGGAGGCAGGAGTGTCTCTTGTTAGCTGGTAAGCAGCAGGAGTAACAAGGACCATGTGAAGGGAGAGAAAGTGGGGAGGAGATGTTTGGGGGGTCGGGGGGCACAGAGGGGGGAGACAGGGTGGAGGAGAAAAAGGGAGAAAGGGCTGGGGTTTTGCTTTTATATCCTCCCTTCCTACCTTTTTCCTCCCCTCATTTCCCATCGCTTCCTCATACATCCTCGAAGGCTTATCCCCAAACCAGGGAAACTCTTCTTCACTCTCCCCTCCCCTCACCCGTCTCTCCATTCTTTTCTGTCTCAATCTTTCCTTGTCACCCTCTCCTTCTCCTCTGTCCCCTCCCTCCATCTTTCCCTCCCTTCTTGTACTGTATATTTATTTGAACATGGAACTGCGAGGCCATGGGGCAACCCAAAACCAACACATGGTGCTGGTGTTAAAGCTCAGCTCTCAGAGGCTGAAGGGCACTGCAGCACTGCAAATTTAAAAAAAATAGAAAGAAAAAAAAGAAAGTGAGAGAAATAGAAAGAAAAAAGAGAAGCTTTCCATTTTGTTTTCTATCCAAGCTGAACATTTTTACATAGTCCAGTCACACAGGCACACACACACACACACACACACACACACACACACACACACACACACACACACACATACAGTTTAGAGTACTCATGAGAGCTTATACTCACATGTGCACCTGGGTGGATACTTGCCAAAATACACACAGTTGATAAAAAGTTGGAAACAGTTTTATGTTTGGACTTAAAAAAAAAAGGTATCACTGCCTGCAAAGGAAAACCGAATTGTGAATTTTCTTTTGCACTTTTAAACTTACATCCAGACACATTCACATGTTTCTTTACACCAACTCGCAAAACAGCGCAGCACCGTTTTATTGACTGCCTCTCGTCATGGGGAAAACCCTTGCCTCAGCCTGGTAACACACACACACACACACACACACACACACACACACACACACTCACACTCGCAGAAACACACATGCACACACCACCCCCAGACACTAATAATAACTTTCAACCCAACTAGTGGTGCCAGGATGTTTTGGTTAGTGTGCATGTGTGTGTGTGTGTGTGTGTGTGTGTGTGTGTGTGCCTAGAAACCTTCTGGTCTGTATTACCACAGGACATGCCAATTCTTTGAATCAGGCTGCTCTGTAGCTTAAAGCCTCCCAAAGCAGAAAGAGAAGGAGGGAGGGTGTGAGGAAGAGAGATGTGAATGGAGAGAAAATGGTTTAAAAGAAAATAAAATTGTACATTAAAAAAAGACCCACACAACTGTGACTTTATAGACCGTCGGCACATGTGATGTTCATATATCCTTATAATCAAATTCCCTTTGTCACACAGACACACACACAGATAAGATCCTTCAGTGGCCGTAGGATGTATTTTCTTTGGGTGCCCCTTTTGGCTCTTTATGTGTGTGTGTGTGTGTGTGTGTGTGTGTGTGTGTGTGTGTGTGTGTGTGTGTGTGTGTGTGTGTGTGTGTGTGTGTGTGTGTGCGTGCGTCTGCCCGGGTTTCCCTGCTCCTGCTGTAAAGCTGCCAGAAAGCCAGACTCGCCTGGTGATCCCAGCTGTAAACATCCTGGGGGGAAACAGCAGACTGCTGCTTTCAACGCACTCACCAGAAACACGTCTGCTATATGCTGTGTGTGTGTGTGTGTGTGTGTGTGTGTGTGTGTGTGTGTGTGTGTGTGTGTGTGTGTGTGTGTGCTCATGTGCACACTCCTGGGGCTGCGACATGGTGGCAGGGCTCTAAATGGAAACAGGTTGGTTTGCGGTTTTCATTCCTGCAGACGATGCTCTGTGATGGGACACCGTGTGAATGTTTCTGCCCTCTACTTTGCTTTTGTGTACTTGAGAAGGAGAGGGAGTTCAGAATGGCACGCTGTGGCTTCACTTTATCAAAGACAGGCGGGCTGGAAGACAAACTGTGGCCCCGGTGAAGGTAGAAAAGAAAACATAATGGAAAACAAGACAGGGGGTCTAGCTAAACTTGTAACGTTTCACATGACGTCACCTACAAACACTAAAGCCACAAGCAATTTTCTGTCTTTTTTTGGGAGAGCTATACAAAAACTCGTAAAAATGGCGAATAGACAATGACAGAGTGGCTGCTCTTTCAACATTTTTGTATGGTGGCTTCCTGCCTCTCTGCACATTACATGGTCATTTGAGGTAAAGCAGCCACAAGTTGATGCAGGGAAGGCAGAGTAATTGTACACTTTGGTCAAGAGTGCAGTGCGATGCTGGGGGTTTACTGTGTGTTTTAGTTATCTTTTTGGGTAAGTGTTCATTTTTTTCTGTGCGGTTGAACTTTTTCTGGCTTCAGTTCTCAGTTAGCTCTTTTGGTTTGTTAGAATAAACAAACAACATGTTGAGAACGTCATGCAACCATCACTTATATTTATATGTGTGCGATTCTGTTGGTCAACATGGGATTTCCCATTTTGTGGATTTGTTTAATCTCTGTGTAACTTGCTTGAGAAAAGAGAAAAAAATGAGAAACAATGTCAAATAGATATCCAAGCGTCTTTATTTCAGCTATTTCAACTATCCTTTACAGTTTTATCTTCATCAGATTTAAGTCTTGGTTCAGTGACAAAATAACAAACAAACAACTAAATACAGCAAAACATTTTTTGGGGAAAAAATTGGGAGTTATGTATCCGTCACTCATAAATCCAGGATAGGCTAGGGCAAGGCCTCTGTGGTGGAGCCTTTGGGTGCTTTATTTAGGCTTGTGCCTGGGCTTGTCCAGATGGACGAGGGGTGGTGCTGTGTGTTCCTACAGCCTGATGTGTTTGTGCCTGCTGGATGCCCCTCTGGAGCGCTCCCACTCTCTTTTCGGACACTGCGAGTCGTCCCGTGCTTCCCCGGCCAGCCTAACCAATGTGCAGACTACTGTACAACCACTACTTCCTGAACAGGTAGTCTGAACACTGGGCAGGCGGGCTGGGCGGCTGAAGGATGCTGTGGAGAAGTTTTTTTACTGATGCCACCACAGATGAGCGCAGTATGAGTCACTCACACACACACTCTTTAAGCGATACTCACTGTGATTCCAGTGTCAGCCTCTTCTGTATCTGCTCTCGTAGTCTGACTGCTACAAAGTGCTGATCAGGCTGATTGTGTGGGCTGGAGGAGAAACAGCGTGTGAGGGATGGATGAAGGGGCCGGCGGGGAGGTGAAGGAGGAGGAGGGGGAGGAGGAGGAGAGGTTAGACAGATGTGATAGCCACTGATTGGCAGATTCAACAGCATTCCCTCCCGCTGTGATAAGTAGCATTCCAGACTGAGCTCAGGAGAAGAAACACCATATGCATAAATGCATTTTTAATATTTCGAAAACACCCAAAGAGATGTTGAAGAGTAATAAAATCCATTAAATAAATCTTGTGATTTATTCAGTAAATTCTGGCTATTGTTTGGGCGATTATTGGTCAAATTTTGAATGATTCACAAATTTTTCTTTTTACAAACTCAAAAACTGAAGTGCTGTTTTTTGGCAAAGCCTGTTTGCTGAAAATGGATGGCAGACAAAGACTAACTCAAATGTAAAAGAACACACACCCGCATGGTGCAAATTAGTACAATCTAAACTTGGTTTGCCCCCGCTGACCCCCAGGCCAAGAATAAATAAATAAAAACCAAGATACGTCATGAGATACAACTGTTAAACAGTTTAAAAAACTGGTCAGACGAAGCTGTCATTAAAAGACAGAAACACCCAAAAGCCAGCTCTTTAGTCTCCAAGCGCTCTTAATCTCTCTTGGCTAGAAACTTATCAGTGAATAGTTGTGGTCAGCTGAGTCTGACCCAACACCTCCCACTAAATCACCGGAAAACATAACCTTTCGCCTCCTTGACGCATGCCAAACGGAAAAGAAATTCCTCCTTGAGAAGGAAATACCTGCAACTTGTCTCCCTTCTCCTTTACACAACTTGCTCTCTTCAGTGATGTCTCGTCTTCTTGGCTGATATTTGTTTCTTCTCCTTCTTCTCCTTCTTGACTGGTTAGCCCCAATTCGTTTCCAGAAGTCCTTTCATTTCAACACTGCCTCACTGTTGAAGCAAAACCAGGCCGGTCGCGTTCAAACACTATTTCTGCGTCATTTGGATTTATCTACTGAAAGCTTTCCGGAGCTAAAAAGCGAGCAAGGTGGACCAGCTGGAAGCTCGACGTGGCAAAGGACTGGCCATCAAGTTTCCCCTTCGAGAGACAGAAGGAGAAAAAGGAGAGAGAGAGAGGAGATATGGAGGGAGAAGGAGGAGGAGCTCGCCGGCCCCCCATTTTTCCTCTCCTCTCTTCTTCCTCTCTCCCCTCCCTCTGTCTGGCTTTTTTTTCTCCTCCTCCCTTTCTTTCTTTCTTCTCCGGCTTTTGGGGAGAAAGTGTAAGGTCAAAGGTGAACAGGAAGTGAGATGCATTCATTTGGCGTGTGCGTTGTAAAGTTTGGAAAGAGAGTGAAGGATTGGCTGCAGAGGGAGGGAACTTTTTAGTGGAAGCGTATGTGGGCAGATGGGAGGATGTCTGCGTTTGTGCACTCACGTATGTGTTCTTCATGTTCTTCTCTTCCACCCAGTCTATGTGCAGATCTGTGCTTATGGTACATGCAAGTGCATATGTGGTTTTTGAGTGATGGATGTGTGTGCAGGAGTTGGGCTGGATGAGAGTAGAGGCTCCATGGTCTTTGTAGAAAGGGCAGGAATGTCGGCGTTTTCTTGGCAAGCAGGAGGAAGCCTTGTAATAACTCCAGATGTGCAGCCCTGTGGTCTCCATCTCTCTCTTGCTCCCTCTGTTTTTACTTCTAAAGCTGATTTCCTCTCCCTGTCCGACTCGAATAAAGAGCCCTTTATGCAGCTCTGCAGCCTTCCCAACACACACACACACACACACACACACACACACACACACACACACACACATCCACACACGGAGGGGGGGTTGCTGGTGAAGGGTGACATACTACTGGTAAATCAGAACCAGAGCGAAAGAGGTTGTGTGTGTGGACTAGGAGGAAAAGTAGTCAAAGTTTGCCTCCTTTGCCTTCTTCGTTTCACACACCCACACACATTTAGGGTTCATTCTTACCTAAGGCAGACAGGAGTAATCAATGCTAGCGTTTCCATGTGTATATGCGTGTGTGTGTGTGTGTGTGTGTGTGTGTGTGCAGAGGTGGCCAAGGCCGTGTGTTTGTTTTAGCTATGGTTTCTGAGCTCCGACCTGAGCTCCAAATCAAAGCAGGCACAATCCCAGGAGAGACGAGTCAGCAGTACTGGGAGAGATGGAGGGAAAGTGAGAGAGAGGAAAATGGAGATGAAAGAAGGAAGTAACTTTAAAATGTGGGGCGAAAAGGAGGCAAAATGATGCTCAGCATGCTTCAACATAAATGAAAAATGTAGCTGAGAAACAAGCCAGAAAAGAGAATGACGGAAATCAGTCCTCATTATTGTTGGGTTTCGGGTGTAGGGATTGGAAGGAGTGAATTTTAATGGTTGGGTGGGGGGAGCGCTGCGGTCGCACCAACATTGTTTCCACTGTTTGGATGACCAGGCAGGCAGCTTCCTTTTCAAACTCTTAGTCAGTAAAGCCAGAAATATTGAGAAAGTATGCGCACACACACGCGCACACACACGCGCACACACACACACACACACACACACACACACACACACACACACACACACACACACACACACACACACACACACACACACACATCCAGTGTAATATGTGATTCTATGTTAATATTGTCATGAAAAACCTCAAGTTTCCTGTCTGTGTATTCTGATATTGCATAAAGCAAATGACTGCGTCAGTTAATGTGGGTGTAATTGTATCTTCTGAGTGTTTGCATCAGTGTGGCACTGCTAAGTGTGTGAACGCCATTCTGCAGATTTATCTGAGTGTGTGTGTGTGCGTGTAACACGCTAGCCAAACCCATAAAGGCAGCCCCAAAATGTGATCCCCTGTATTTCATACAAGTCAGTTTAGTTACAGTGAACGCTCACAAACTAGAGATAGCATGTCAAATTGTCATTATTCTCGTTGGGTTACATGAATGTAAACCACATAATAACTTAGTTTTATTTTCTTAGTCCCTCATGACATCATATGATTATTATTTTTCTGTTGAAATTAAACTCCAAGGTCCAAAAAGATAGTGGTGAGGTCAAAGGGCAGTGGTGGGAGAGGTATTCAGATCCTTTACCTAAACCCACTACAAGAGTTTTACTGGTTATAGAACAGTCTAAATTTGATACTGATGCCTCCGTATGACCTACATAAGTGACATACATAAGAAGATTGGCTATTTCTATATAGTTATTCTTAATGCCTGCTACCTGGTTGGTTTCAGTTAGATTCAAAGAGGCGCTTATTGTCCACCAGGCCCACCAGAAATAAAAAAATAAAGTTCCTTATAGCTGATTTAAGTAAAAGTAACAAATTAACATAAAATACAGTACAAGTAAAAGTCCTGCATTCAAAATCTTATTTAAGTAAAAGTATTAGTAAAATGTACGTATAGTATCAAAAGTGAAAATGTTTGCATTGTACTATTGTTGCTATAGTCAAAGTGTAGCTGGTTTTAACTGCTTTATATACAGATAGTTTAATCCAGTGGTTCCCAAACCCCTAGGGGCCAAGGGTCACCAGGAAAGAAAGGAGAAAACACAAAAACAGAAACTTGTTTTCATTGTTTTGAAACTACTCAAGTAAAACCTGCTTTAGATGAGTTTGAATGGTTCAGATATAGGCACAGCCAGCTGTCTCACACACACTGGTTATAAGACACTACATAATAAACAGAAGTCAAGCTGGCTTCTCTTTGCTGCCTTATACTAAACGTAAAGGATATGAAGCTCAAAGATAGGAGACACAGCCTACAGGAAGGGAGAAATAAGTTAGACACAGACAGTTAAATGCTATGAAATCTACTGAAGAAAAGTGAGCAAAAGTGAATGGATATAGCAAGGATGTAAGAACGCTTCGAAGAAAACTAAAAAGATGTAATGGACAAGATGATGGAAGAATGATAACAATGGTACCAAAACCAGTAATGAACAAATTGCTGTCTCATTGTAAAAGAAAACATTAGAAAAAGGGGTTAGAGGTTGTAAAAGAGAAACAAGAGACATGAGTGACGACCGCAGCATGTCAGAGGGAGCCGAGTAGGTACACAGGGTGGTTTGTGGATAATTCAAAGTTTATCCTGCCTGACTGATGAGATGAATGTGTAATGTATGTTTTTCTTTCTGTAAATTATCATTCTTGATTGTTTCCCACATATCCAGAGCATAATGTCAATACAAAAATCATTAGAGAAACAAAGCCTGGGTTAAACCCAAACAGATACGGGACAGATAAAAAGAAACCACACTGGTGTGCACTTAATGTCTTTTGGCTTGTCGTATGTACCTTGTGTGTGTGTGTGTGTGTGTGTGTGTGTGTGTGTGTGTGTGTGTGTGTGTGTGTGTGTGTGTGTGTGTGTGTGTGTGTGTGTAGTTTGTAATTTTGTCATGTGTATGTGAGACTCTGCAGGCTCATTGCTTCCTTTGAAGGAGGATTGAGAGACATTTAAAGATTGTATTGCATGTGTTTAATAACATATCACATGACCTTTAGTATTTCTGTGTTTATATATATATATATTTATACTTTTAGTTATATATTAGGATATGTTTTTTTATGTTGTCTCAGTGAAAGACTTTTCCATGATTCCCTGATGATACAACTGAATATTTAACCTTTACATAAGTGAGAGATTTTTATGTTCGTAAATATCAAGTTTTACAAGACGAGATTTACTGTAAATGTGTAAAAAAAAAAAAAGTAAAAAAAAAAAAAAAACCCATCCCTCTCTCCACCCTTGGAACTGCTCACGATTGGCACAATAAAAATATACTCTGTCCAAACCCACCCTCTGTGTATTATACAGAACAAGTCTGATTTAGAAGTGCAAATTTTATATTCTGGCAGTTCATTGTACTATAAAAAGTACTCTAGCAGTTAATTTAGGTCTTACAGTATTTGGATGGTTAAATTCTGATGATATAAATACTGTAAGTAAAACAGGATTATGCTTAGCATTATGTTAACTCCCTCCCCTGTTTTCCCCTAAATTTGCATCCATTACGGCAAAGCCACAAATACATGTAAGAACTCTATATAAGATGCATTTATCGTTGTGAAACCTCTGCCAAAAAATTGCACATGAAACCCCATGTGTGACTTTCTGTTGGTTTACATATGTGAACGTTTTGCCTCAATGTATTCTGACATCACTTTTACCTCAGATGCGAATGTTTGGTACACATTTTTTCCTTTTTTGCAGTCGCCATTACATCTAATAATATTTGTTTCACATGTGAAAACTAAGAGACTATTTGCAGACATCATTTGTCATTTTGACTTGGACTTGACCTTTTTACAAGAGAGACTTTGAAATATTTCTCAGGTTTCATGCCACCATGTAGCTGAGATTGTATTTTACTGAGAGACACTAAACACACAGGTTGACCAGAGCTTTTGCCCCCCGTCAGACAGCAGTCGCTAGACGTGTGGGGATTTTCACGTGTTTATGTGGTTAGTGGGCTGTGGTGCCCCCTCCCTCCTTCTTTTACACTTTGGTGGTCACCAGTGATTGATCACATGTCCCGGCTAGCCCCCAGGTTGTTACACTGACCCTCTGCTGAAGTAAACGCAGAGCAGGTCATTAACTGCTTGGCAATTAACTGCTAAACAGGAAGGTATCACTGACCTGCCAGCCTGTGCAACCGGACCGCTGACTGAATGTGTCATTGTCATTTGGACACCAAGTTCCCTTTCTCCACGAAGACGTTTATTTGTGTTTGTGCTCGTTCCCACAGGAAGAGCTAAGCAGAGCACAAAGGCTGTCACTTTTTTAGAGTCAGCAAAGTCAGCTGAGATTAAATACCAGCCAAACAAAACATGTCTTACATTAAACTCACATATTTTTATAATAAGAAAATGTGAGAATTTATGTTTTTGTCCCTGTGAAACTGAATATTTCAGATTAGATTTGCTTTCCTGAAACATTTGTCTGTAGCTGACAGACGGGTTAGAAAAACCTTTGTGTCTGCACTGTTATCAAGTAGCACTTTTAATGATATATGAAGTATTAGAGAGCATGGACACTGGCAGGCTGCCCAAGGTGATTTGTTATGAGCATTATTGCACAACCTTGTAGCTCTATGAGTCATCAGCAGCTGTGTGATTTTACACATTGTCCCAGAATAGCTC